ATGAATAAGCCAAATCTGGATTCAAAATGAGCCAGATCTGGATACACATAAGCTAAATCTGGATCGCGGTACCGATCGCGGGCGCAGCCATCTTGGAATTAAAAAAACACCGGGATGCAGTTTAATTAAAAAACTATTGGTAGAGACATCAGTCGGCAGACTACACGTCGCGAATTCGATGACTGTCGAAGTTGGTCAACAGGGGATACAACCGGAAATTCAACAATCGCTGAAGTTGGCCAGCATTTAACAAGAAATAAAATAGGAAAAGTGGTGGGGGAGAGAAGAAAACGAGACATAAGCCAAATCTGGTTGTAAAATAAGGCAAATCTGGATTTTAAGAAAACGAGCCAGATCTGGACGTAAAATTAGCCAAATCTGGATACAAATAGGCCAAATCTGGATTTAATATAGGCCAAATCTGGATTTAAAATAGGCCAAATCTGGATTTAAAACAGGCCAAATCTGATATGAATAAGCCATATCTGGATTTTAAAATCTGGATGTAAAACAAGCCAAATCTGGATTTTAAGAAAACGAGCCAGATCTGGACGTAAAATTAGCCAAATCTGGATACAAAAAGGCCAAATCTGGATTTAAAATATGCCAAATATGGATTTAAAATATGCCAAATTTGGATTTTAAAATGCCAAATCTGGTTTAAAATATGCCAAATATGAATTTAAAACTGCCAAATCTGGATTTAAAATATGCCAAATTTGGATTGAATATAGGCAAAATCTGGATTTAAAATAGGCCGAATCTGGGTACACATAAGCTAAATCTGGATCGCGGTACCGATCGCGTGCGCAGCCAAATTGGAAAAAGGCCAAATCCGGGATACAAAATAGCCAAAAATACTAATGGTAAATTTATTTTAGTATCAAATAAGCCATGAGTAGTTACCCTTAAGCTCGGTATTATGGATATCGCAACCTTTCGGCCTTGATTCCATTGTAAATAAGCCAAATCTGGAAGAAAATGTGCCAGATCTGTGTACACCCGGGCTAAATTGAACCCGGACCACAAGGAGTACGTCACCCATCTCCGTGAAAAAACCGGTTTGCAGTTTAATTCCGCTAGAGAGCCGGGCAAATCTATTGGTAGAGTCGGCAGACTACACGTCGCGAATTCGATGACTGTCGAAGTTGGTAAACAGGGGATACAACCGGAAATTCGACAATCGCTGAAGTTGGTCAGCAAAGTGTTAAAGGCCCAATGAAGAAGAAGAAGAAGAAGCAAAAGAAGAAGAACAAAGAGGAGGGGGAGGAGGAAGAGATCAAGAAGACGGAGAAGAAGATGATGATAATGATGATGATTATGCAACTAAACAATTGACTACCAGCTCAGATTTAGCCTGAGTTCGCAGAAACTACAGGCAAGTGCCAAGGATTGGACCAATGAAAAGCCTTCATGCCAACAAGGTGGAAGTTTTGAGTTGGGAGCTCTTTTGCCAGAATTCCGATTCCTTCCAGATTGTTTTGTTTTTAACTGTAATCTTACTCAGATTTCTACTTATAGAGGTGTCGGATCACACAGTCATGTCCTGAGCTTTCACAGTTATTGCTGAGACTTATTAATTTGTAATTATCGACGATGTGATTGATATAAACATTAGGTTGTTTGCTTGGCATATTAGTTTAGTCTGTGTACTGAACTGTGACTGCTGCAGCCGTTTGTTGCAAGTTTTCAGAATTTTTTTTTCTAGATCGGTAGGTTTCGGTTTCTGACTAAACTCATTACAAAAGATTTCAGAACAAACAAAAAGAAGAACCAGATTCAAAATAACACAAAGGACAGGTGAACGTTACGGCTAGAGAGACTTCATCATCACATTTACATAACTCACTACTACTTACTACAATACAATAGTAATACTAATAGTAATTTAATATACTGAATGCTCTGGTACGAAAAGAAATGAAGAAATAATACACTGTCATGAAATGACAAAATCTTTTTTTTTTTAAAACAACAACACATTTCTGAGCATTATACTGACATTGTTAATATTATCCTTTATCATGTTAATTAAGAACCGTATGACGTATGATATTGTTAATATTATCCTTTATCATGTTATTATTAAGAACCGTATACCACTAACTGCACTGTGGAAGTTTATGATTACAATCACTAGAATAGAAAAAATGATAAAAAGTAAAGGACCCTTTTCCACGCCTACTTTAAGTGTATTGGGCATATAGAACAAGACCTATATTTTATAGACCAATCTGCATTTGGTGGGTCAGCACCACGCTGGCCGCTTTTACTTCTCAGGACTGCACCTGGTACATACTCAAGGCTAGATCGACCTGGGAGTCAAACATGTTTCGAAAAAAGTTTGGCTCCCTCAGGACCTGAACCCATGACCTTCCTATCCGCAGGTAAGTATCTAGCCACTACACCACAGGGACTCCCACAAAGATTGATGACCTGCATACATTTTAAAAATTATTTCTCCCAGCCCCAAACTCTGAAAGATTCACAACCCATTCTTCTTCTTCCTCTTCGTTCACTGGCTGTGAATTCCGGCGGAAGGTCGAGGTTAATCGTCCGCTTGAACTTTTGGCTTTTACCTGGACCTGAGTTTTGCGTGTACAACCATTTTATTGGCTTTTGCCGTTCCCTGCCTCACGGGCAGATGTACTCTGACTTCGTGGGAAGACGTCAGTCCTATTTCTAGGATGACTGTGGCCATTGTTTTGTGTGGGTCGAGATGTTACCTTATTTGTGTGGTGTCCTCTTTGTCCCTTTCTCCACAGGTGTTGCCCCCGGAGTACCCCCTTTGGGACCGCCCTGTGTGGAATGGTTGGCCCTCAAGGGAAGGCAGGGGCAGATCATGGGCATTCCCCGCCATCCAAGGAGGCTTCCATAATAGCAGAGCTGATACATAATGCTCTGGTTCTGGGTTCACCCAAGGAATCGTCACGTCCTGCACATAACTGCTTAACCTCACAACCGTATATTGAGCTTTCCGCTCAACACAGGCTGCGTCCAGCGGGGAGCAGCCCGTGGGTTCTGGACTTTGTGAACACACAAATGGGTACATTCTTCTTCGTTGCACGGTAGACACCTTTAACGTTGTTTCAACTGTGCCCTTAGCATGACAGTATGGGGATGCATGCGTCAGGTATGGCTTTAATTGTTTGGTCCCAGCACTCGGGCGAGTGGGGCCAGTGTATACGGACATTTGGACTTTTTTTTTTTCTAATCGGTACGAATTGTGATGGTCGGACTTTGAGCTTGGCTGTGTGCCGTAGGATCTGACTTTGTTGAACATTATTGACTAGCCAGCAGATGAAAGTATGCTGTCGTTGTGTACCTCAGCGCGGTGACGACGACACTGAGGATTGACAGAGGGTATACGTAGGTAGGATCTGACTGCGAGAAACCACCCACAAGAGATGTTACTCGTCTTGGATGCGGGTAAATCTCTTGGTCAAGGATTGAGTCTCAGCAGCACAGTTTTCCGTTCGCTCCAGACTTTTAACAGAGTGTTTCATTTGGTGGTATATTTGCCAAGCAGACTTTACTCATGTACCGAATGAGTTTTGATAGACTTTTCACCCTTGTGTTTGTTTGGGGGCAGGCTGGTGAGGGCCAGAAAGGACACTACACCTCTGGGGGCCGCCAGCTCCGAGATCCCCTGCCAACTCTGTTAATGCTCATTTGAGACATTATTCATGGCGCACGATGGGGACGTTCAGCAGGAGTCTTGCATGGGGTTCCATAAAACCAGAACAGTGAAGGACTGGCGCCCTAGTGAGGTACAGAGTATCTCCTTATACACATCACATCAGACTTAACTTTCCTTCACGCCTGTGATCTAAATCACCGCGCCACTCACAACCCATTGACTTTAAACGATAAAGGAGGCATCAGTATTCAGATATAGATGCAAATTTACAAAATGTATGTTTATTCAACGGATCAACATCATCGCATACAGGTGTAACACATAATTGCTTTGTTCTTCTAACTCAAGCCTGAGTCTTAAGAATCTCAGGGCAGTGCACGAACTCCGTTGCACCGGCGAGGATCCTGAAATACTTTGGGTAGATTTTTAACTCCATATTTTGCTCGGGCAGCACCGTTTGGCTACTCTTTTTGATTTCCAACTGCCAAGGGATTTTTTACGTGCACAAGAATACACACGGGCATCTGACCTTATTACCCAGAGACCAGGGGAAATTACTAGAAGTCCACATGATAAAATCCCAGCCTTCACTGTAGCTTGAACCTGGTACCTCCAGCACTCGAGGCGGACACCATACCTCAAGACCACTCAGCCCCCCAACACAAAGTTAGAACACAAGGTAGGAGATATTGGTATGCTTGTCGATTGTGATATTATAGCATTTTGATTTATTCCATAATTATACTTTCTAAGATGCAAATATGCTTCACTTCCTGTTTATCAACACTGTCGTTACTCATACATTTTTTCATTAACATTTTTCAGAATAGAACAGAACGGATAGCATGGAAGGTATTTATTTGATGTCAGTTGTCTGTGAATGTCTGAAAGTAAGTGTGCCTCTGCCTGATTGTCCGTCTGATTATCTCTTTGAGTGTGTGTGTGTCAGAGAGTTAGTGTGCCTCTGTCTGCCTGATTGTCTATCTAATTATCTCCTTGGGTCTGTGTTTGTCTGAGACTTGTGTACCTCTATCTGACTTATTGTCCATCTGATTATCTCCCTCATGTAAACCTGCTACCGGCCGTGTTGAATACCATAACTCAGCCGCTGCATAAAAGAAAGGCATCCCACATGGAAAACACTGCTCACAATGCTGCACCAAGCATTAGCAAAGCACTTTCGGATGCAAAAATAACTTTGAAGCTAAAAGTTCTGCCATGCCTAGTCCTCCATATTGGACCAGAAGTTAGTTGTTACAAGTGCCTTAGGAGCTCCTTGTGCCTTATGCAGCTGTAGCTTTAACCCATTGTGTCCCAGTTGATAATTCAGCACCTGTTGCACCACAGTGATATTATTTTGACCCCGTCCTATCCAAATCTATCTTTCTTTAAAGAACTTTGGCGACTTAAAAAGAGTTTAATATATATAAATAAATAATGTACTTGGTTTTAATTCTTCAAGTAAAATATTATTTATAATTATGTATTTTTTATAAATAAGACATCCTATGAAAATAAGCTTTAACATGTTTGGTGGGGGGAGGGGAGTTGCGGTAAATATTAGATATTGTTTTATTTTAGAGGAAACACTGAAAAATACTTCTTGTTTCTTCTCTAACAGGATCAGCAGCTAATTCCATGAGCAGTGACCTGAGGGCTGGCTCTGCACAACTGGCCACTGTCGGGAAAAGTCCACAGGATTGGAAAGCGTATATTGATTCTGTGAAATTAAAAGTTCAGTCATGGGATGCCCACAGGCGAAACCGCATGATTTCATATTTATATGTCAGTGCGTTTAAGGTAATATTTGTAGCGTGTCTTTTGTGTCAGTCAGTAATCAATATGTTTGTATTTAAAGGACCATTTTTCACACCTTCGGGTGTATTAGCATAGAGGGCTAGACCTATATTTTATAGGCCAGTCGGCAAAAGGTGGGTGATGTGGTCAGCATCACGCCGGTCGCCTTTACTTCCCAGGACAATACCTGGGACCCACTCAAGGTTGGGTTGACCTGGGAGCCAAGGTCATTTAAAAAAAAGGTCTGGTTTCTCCTGGACTTGAACCCATGACCTTCCAATCTGCAGGCGAGAGTTTGGTTGCTACACAACAGCATTTATGAATAATGGGTCTATTCTATTCTTTTTCACCCAATCGTTGCATGAGATACCAAAAAAATAAGAGACCATTGCATGAGCTGGTTGAGGGCCTATTCTCCATTGGGGAGTACAAACGGCAGAAGAAAAGAAAAAAGACCTATGTATGTATGATTGAAACAGTGAAATTGGTGGTGGTGGGCGACTGGGGTTGTAGGTGGAAATATTAAGCAGTTGTGTGGGGGAAGGTGACTGTGAAATTGGAAAGGTAAAAGTCAAGAGTGCATGTTGTGAGTGAAAATGTCTTTAAAAATCAAATAGTACTTTAATGCGAAAACAAATACAAACATGATAACTGCTGTTGCTTAGCTTATTAAGTGTTTGTGTATGTTTAGGTGTTTGTGTATGTATGGTTGTGTATGTTTAGGTGTTTGTGTATATATGGTTGTTTGTGTATGTTTAGGTGTTTGTGTATATATGATTGCGTATGTTTAGGTGTTTGTGTATATATGATTGCGTATGTCTAGGTGTTTGTGTATATATGGTTGTTTGTGTATGTTTAGGTGTTTGTGTATATATGATTGCGTATGTTTAGGTGTTTGTGTATATATGATTGCGTATGTTTAGGTGTTTGTGTATTTATGGTTGTTTGTGTATGTTTAGGTGTTTGTGTATTTATGGTTGTTTGTGTATGTTTAGGTGTTTGTGTATTTATGGTTGTTTGTGTATGTTTAGGTGTTTGTGTATTTATGGTTGTTTGTGTATGTTTAGGTGTTTGTGTATTTATGGTTGTTTGTGTATGTTTAGGTGTTTGTGTATTTATGGTTGTTTGTGTATGTTTAGGTGTTTGTGTATATATGATTGCGTATGTTTAGGTGTTTGTGTATATATGATTGCGTATGTTTAGGTGTTTGTGTATTTATGGTTGTTTGTGTATGTTTAGGTGTTTGTTCATGTATGGTTGTGTATGTTTAGGTGTTTGTGTATTTATGGTTGTTTGTGTATGTTTAGGTGTTTGTGTATATATGATTGCGTATGTTTAGGTGTTTGTGTATATATAGTTGTTTGTGTATGTTTAGGTGTTTGTGCATATATGGTTTTGTATGTTTAGGTGTTTGTATATTTATGGTTGTTTGTGTATGTTTAGGTGTTTGTGTATATATGATTGCGTATGTTTAGGTGTTTGTGTATATATAGTTGTTTGTGTATGTTTAGGTGTTTGTGCATATATGGTTGTGTATGTTTAGGTGTTTGTATATTTATGGTTGTTTGTGTATGTTTAGGTGTTTGTGTATGTATAGATATATTTGAAAGTGTATGTATGAGCAAGAGTGCATGTATGTATATGTGTGAATGTTTGTATGTGTGTGTCTGCATGTGTTTGTCTCTGTGTGTCTGTATGCATGTATCCCTGTATGTATGTTTGTATGTATGTATGTATCTGTATGTATGTATGTGTGCACACGTATTTTACCACTCCATGCTTTTTTTCTCTTGATATTCATAATATGCATAATATTATATGAACATAACATGCTTTATTGGTAAAATACAACTGCTGTGTGAAAGATGGATGTTTGGAAGGGCCGAATCTATGACAGACTTGCGTACCCAATTTGTGACACTTTGAAAAAAGTTTGTTTGTTCCTTCAATATTTAAATGTATATAAAACTTCATTATTCTTCCCTAAAAATGTATTTTTTTTTCCTTCTGTGGGCTCCATTGTTGGGTAAGGATTGACCCACTGCCCCCTTAACAAGCATGTCGTAAGAGTCGACTAATTAGGATGTTTCCTTCGAAGTCAGAGCGCAGCTGCCTGGGACAAGGAACCAGTAGTCTTCTATACCAGTGTTTCACAAACTGTGCGCCGGGGAGCCGCGACTTGTTCACAGGGGCGCAGCAAAATATTCAAAGAAACATGAGTTTTATTTGTTTTGATCTCTTACATACGAATAGTCATACTTTTACTTAGGTTAGGGCACAGCGGAAATTTTTTTTTATTGGAAAAAGGTGCCATGACTAAGACAAGTTTGGAAAACACTGTACTATACAAATAAATCAGATCTGTCCATGCAAAACTCAAGTTCTATAATAAGACTAAAGTCCAGAAGTGGATGAACAACCAGAACCCCCCTCCCTTCCCAGCTGGTGATCATGAAGAAGAAGAAGAACTGTTGCAAGAATTATTTCTCTGTACAATTCTTGCATGAGAATTTATAACTATCCTCTCTTCACAGGTGATCCCAAACACAGATACATCCTTCAGCTATGCCCAGTTGCTTGTTGACTATGCAGAATTCACAAGGTGAGAATCGTCATTTTCACTTATGTTTTCTTCTCCTTACCTGTTGAACATATGTGCAGTAGCAGTTGCATTCCACCCGTTTTCCATTCTCCACGTTCTTTAGCTGTGCTGAATCATTCCCATTTCAGACCTTTTCTTCTGAAAAGTTATGGAAAATAAAAGTATGCTAAATACATGGAAGAAACATTACTGAACTATTTCTTATTGTTATGTTATCTCATCTGTATGTGAGTGTTAGTATATGATTGCTCAATAGTTAGATATGCATATTTATGGAAACAAATAAAACACAACTAAGTAGTCAATAAGCAAAGGCTCTCATGGCTGAGACACCTCTTGGTAAATGATAGAATACCAATAAGACCACTGAGTAAAAAAGGCAAGGGAAATTATAGTGATCAGCCTTCATCTGCAGAACAACCATAAGGGGAGGATTGAGGTGTGAACAACTGCATCAACATCATGACTCACGGCTAGTAACCCATAAGTGCTCCGTTCTTCTTTTAACTCAAGTCTGAGTCGAAGAAGCTCAACACAGTGAACAGGCTCTGTAGCACCGGAGACTGGTAAGGGGGAAAAATAGCAAAAAATTAACTCACTCTGAAATGACACCTTTGAGGCATTACACTCTTATACGCATAACATGTGGAGCAGTCTAGGTTAGTATTGCATACTTTATATGGTTCTATCACACAAGGAAATGTATTATTCAAATGTGAAGTGAAATTTTTGTTAAAGCACATCATTTTTTAAATTATTTTTTTTTAAATTGGATAACAGCTATCATGACTTGAATGAGGCTGTTCGAATGCTAGCATTTGCTCGGAAAATCTTACCACGTTATTCCATCATCCATATTGCCAGCGCAGAGACTGAGTTGAAGAAAGGTAGGTAGAATTTTATTTGTCATTGATTTGTGACTATCCATCTCTTTCTCAAAGACTCAACAACAGCAGCAAAAGATTAGAAAAACATTTAGTATAAATCAGATGTACAGGACCAATCACAATCAACAAACAAAAGATGTTTTAGTAATTAGCCTTCATCAGCATTTCAACGACGAGTAACAAAACACAACGCACTAAACAAAATGAACTGACTATGAAATGACTCCGAGACTCAGCAGTTCCTGGATCGGAACAGAACCATCCAGAATTGTCCACAAAAACAAAACTAAGAAACTACCAGTTTTTTTAAAAAAAAAGGCATTTTTGACCAGGTCAGCTTCCCCGACACTGGGTCATTTTAATGTTTGCTCCAAAAGACGCTTTAAGGCTTCGTTTCAGAGGATGTCTTATTTTGTTTTCAAGGTTTAGAATTCTACATTTTTTCAAGTACACATTTATGTTTATTCAAGCATTAATGTCAGTATTATTGTTTATTTGTAGTTATGAATATACTCCTCCGTTTATAATTAAGAACGACCGTCATGTGTTTCAGTGGCCAAATGAAAGCCAACTATCTGAGGATCTTAACTAAGGCTTATAGTTGGGATAGGACTTATATTGTGAGCATTGTGAACAATCATGCTACGGCTTTTTTCAGGTCAGGTCTTTTTTCGAAGAGACGGTATATAGTTTAAATTTTGCAAACCATGTTTAGCTGATGTTCCTATTACATATGTCATTTGCAAAAAGATAATAGCAGTCGCATTTCCTCATGTGCCTTTCTCATGCAAATTTCATCCAGGTCAGAGAGAAGAAGCTGTCAGTATCTTGCAGAAAGCCATTTTACTTGAGACTGAGCCAGTTTCTGAGGTCTTGAGAGCACTAGAGAGGTTGAACGAGGGCAAGGCAGAGCTGCGTGATCACACTAAAGATGGTAATGTTGAACATCTTCTACTGTTAAAATCATGTGTTTTGTGTTCGATTATCTGTTGGTTTGTAGGGCTGTACACACTGGTGGTAGCGTAAACAACAGTTAGCTGCTGGATGGTTGAGGTTGCAGACTGGTTGATCTATGATTACTTCATTCCTTTGCCGTTTGAAAAACTAGTGAAAAACATGTCAGGCCTGGCAAAATCTTGAAGCTCGTACATGCAAAACAAATGTATAAGGTAGCTGTCAGATGTGCCAACACTAACAGTCTTACGCCACAATTCTGGCTGACTGTTGATGCAAGCAGTCAGTTACACAAACCAGCAGGAGATATTCTTATTTTTAGCATTCATTAACTGTACATTCTGGCAAAAAGTTTGATTGTGTATGCAAATCTGGACTTCACTCTTGTTCCAGAACTTCAGTTTTGCATGCACCTCCATTTTACAGATCTGACGTATTTGTAAGTAAACTTCTGGTTCTTCATCTGTCAAGATGCATTCCTACTTTGAAGAAAGCACTCCTAATTAGTTGACCTTTATGATATGTGTGTTAGGGGGCATTGGATCTGTTATACCCCCCCCCCTTTTCCCTTTTTTCCCCCAACAATGGGGTTCTGGAACCCACACATGGAGGGCATGAAGTGATCCAGATAGGTAGAAAGAATAGGCAGATGAAGGGGTTACAGCAGGAGATGTAACTTGAAAATTCAGAAATTACTGTGTTGGACATTAAGGCTTTTACATTTTTCCCCCCAGATATTCCTTTTAATCGTGGCATTATTTTTGAATGTTTCTTCTGTTAATGCTTTGAACTAAATTTTTACAGAGCGTACACAAGATGATACCCACTCTGGCATTCTCCTAGACATTTCCAACAGACAGTGTGAAGCTGGACTCAGTGCATTGAAACATGTCAAACCTGATACACTGACCTTAATGTCTTCGGCTTCCAGGCAGAATCTCAATTTTCCTGTATTGGCACAGAATACCAGTGAGAGCTCCGGCATATTTTCAACTCCTTCATGTGAACTACCAAAAGTGGTTGACAAGATTATCATTGACGGCAGGTGCCAGAAAAGCGACAGCACCCAGAGAAATGACAGCGCCGAGAGAAGCCACAGCTCCCAGCAAAGCCACAGCTCCCAGCCAAGCCACAGCTCCCAGCGAAGTGACGTTCCTTCAATTGTCATAGCTGAGCCTCCCCCACATCAGGGACCTACCAGGAAATTACAGTTGCCATCTTCAGACAAAACTCGTTTGACAGCTGAAATTTCTGGACCCATAACTCAACAGTCAAATGGAACCTGGCCAGTGTATTCCAACACACCTTTGAATCTACGGTCTGGTGATCATCTGAAAGCCAGAGCTGATACTACAAGAGACTTTCTAGTTAAGCCTCAGGAGGTGCAGCGGCAGAGTGGAATTAGTGACAGGACTTTGTAAGTATCCATAATCCGTACAATGTCCTGTTCTTCTTTTCTCTACTCCTGGAATGCCCTGCGGCGTCAGGGCAGGAAGAGATCTCTGGAACGGGCCCTTCTGTTCACTTCATATAAAGTACTTTTCAGTGTCCCAGATATTTCTGGGGTCCATATTCGGCTTGGTCTACCTCTGGATCTGTTATCGCTGTATCTGTATAACATTGCTGTCTGTGGTGCCCTGTCTGCTGCCAATCTTGTTACATGTCCAAACCATTTGATTTCTTGTCTACCTGTAGAGTTCAGTATTGGTTCTGTGCTGAGTCCTGATATCATCATTCCTAGGTCGATCTTCCCTCGTTACACCTAGCGTAGTACACGTAAAATCGTTCCTAATTCGATCTTTCCTCGTTACACCTAGCCTAGTGTGTAAGTTGTGCTATAACATGTCACATAGGGCTCACAGTCTATTTCTCCATTGTGTATTACCCTGTGCAGTCTCTTGGATGTCATTGGGGGGGGGGGGGGGTCTCGAGGCATGGTGTCCGCCTCAAGTGCTAGAGGTTCTGGGTTCAAACCCCGGTAAGAGCTGGGAATTTTTCACGTAGACTTTTACTTCTAGTAATTCCCCCGGTCTGTGGGTAGTGAGAACGGATGACGGTGTTCATTGTTGCGCATGTAAAAAATCTGGGCAGTTGGAAATCGAAAAAGAGTAGCTCAACGGCACTGCCTGGGCAAAATTTGGGGTTAAAAATCTACCCAAATTATTTCAGCATTCTTACTGGAGCCTATGCACTGGGCTGAGCTTCTTCGGACTCAGACTTGAGTTAGAAGAAGAACGGAGCACTTATGGGTTACTACCCGTATGCCATGATGTTGATCTGTTGTTATACTTTGGATATCATGGAGGAAATCCAGTACAGCACCTTTGGCTTTTATCATCAACATGCGCCTTAGGGTTTCTTTCTTGTTTTTTTTTTCTTGTTTCTTTTTTTTTGGCCTTGTTTCTCGAAACTGCACCCTCTATTACTCTCCAGACCAGCATGTCGCTTGAAATGTCCCAAATACCTCAGCTTTCGGTAGAGGAAGCTGTTTACAAGTCTTCTCCTTGATGGTCAAATCACGCAGGACTCAAGAGTTACCACAGACAGTATGAAATCAACACCTATAGTTGTGATGGAGAAAATGGGGATGACCCAAGCACTGAGTGAACGCAGAGACACCAAGATGCTTTTACAAGCAGAAAAGTTTCTTAGCATGCCCAGTCACCCTATGAATGAAAGATTCCAAAATTTAGCTTTGGGACGACTAAAGAGAAGTAGTTTTATCCACCAGGCCAAACGGCTCGGCAGACAAACCACTGATTTACCTGCAACTGATAGATCCTTAAATGCTGTCCCAGAACGGACCCCTGGAGAGAGGAGTATAAGTTTCCAATACACATCAAGACTGAAGTGAAAGGGGTATTTGACAAGGAAGAACAAAACAGTGTGCAGCGCAAAACAGCCACCCTCAGTCTACTTGATGATGAATACCTGCAGAACCTTTGGGTCCGTGTTTACACAGATGGGTCAGCAGAAAGCGCAGTCAGAAACGGAGGTGCGCGAGTGTACATTGAGTATCCTAATAATACCAGGGATATAGCAAAAATACCAACAGGAAAGCCCTGTCACAACTATGATGCAGAAGTTCAAGCCATCAAGATAGAGGTAGAGAAACTACTAAATACAGGGTATTTTTCACAACCAATGGTATTCCTGACAGATGCAAAAGCAGTACTTCAGTCACTCTAGTCTGGAAAATTACCAAGCATACAGACACTATTATCCGAACTAGGCAACCGCTGTAAACTAGTAATGCAGTGGATACCTTCCCACTGTGGAGTTCCCGGAAACGAAAGAGCTGATAAACTAGCTAAGGAAGGTGCAACTGAAGAACAACCTGACATACCAGTCTCTTATCAACAGAAGAAGAGAATGATCAAATCAATCAGAATGCCACCGAAACTGGCACAAGATGATTACCATATTATGGACAGACCAGAGCAAGTCATTATCCTTCGCCTTAGAACAGGGCACAATCGACTTCGCTGCCACATGTACAACAAATTTAAGATTGGCCAATCAGCCATGTGTACTTGTGGACTGGCACCTGAAACAACAGATCACATCCTTCAAGACTGTCCCAGATTCAACGCTTTCACGCAAAACCTTTGGCCAAAAGAGACACTTGTGGAAGTCAAACTTTACGGGCCGCTTAGTGAATTATAAAAGACAGTAAAATTCATACTAGAGACAGGAGGATGAGCCTGTCGCTGCACCAGCCCCTACGGTGCCGACAGGGCCAGTACCGACGGACGACCCGGAGGAGACACCAGCCTCACACACCCAGACGCCTCCAGCCCTGGATGTGGGCCCTATCGAGGCACCCGTCTACCTAGAAGCCGCCCCAGTCGAGGCGCAGGAACCGAGCAACACCCGCCCACTCAGGCAGCAACAGCAACGACCGGGAGCCTACACCACAGAAGTTTTGCAGTGCTCTCGCTGCAACAAGGCGTGGCACTCTGCCTCGTCATGCCGCAGCAGCCCTTCGTGCCGCTACTGTTCCGGCCCTCACCTATTCAGGGAATGCCCTCTGGCAAAAGTGGACCCTGATTTTAAAAAGCCGAACGCAAGCAGAAGATGTTCCAACTGCTCCGGTGCACACAGCGCCAGGTACATGGGTTGCCCGTATCTGAAAGAAGTCAAGAGAGCGATGGCAAATACCACCACCAGGACCACACACAATCCAGAGCCGAAACAAAGATATCAGGCGCCCAGTCCGACAGCTGCGAACAACAACGTCATTACTCAACTGAGAGACGAAATCAAATCCCTGCGAGAAGAAAACGCACGAATCATGGCACTCAGGACTCAAGACAGGGACGAGATGATAGACCTGCGAAGCATCCTGCAGGCGTCTCTCGAGACCCAAAGGAGACTCGAGGAGGAAAACACAGAAATGGCGAAGTTCAAAACAGAATTGATGGCAAATCTAACCGACCTCAAGAAGTTAAAGGAAGCAGACGCAGTAGCCGCCAAAGAACTGAAAGACAACCAGAAAAGTATACTTTCCGAGATAGCCACCATCAAGAAAGACCAGGCGAAAACAAAAGCAGAGGTAGCCGAGGCAAACAAAGAATGCGACAAACTCAGCTGTGTAATCGAAGCCACGCACAGAGTAATAGAAGCCAGAGAAAACGCGAAGAAAGAAAAAGACAGAAAAAGGCAGATCCACGACGCTCACGTGAAACCCGGAGATCTAGAGAAGAAGTGCACACAAGACCTGTACATCCTCAAGGAATGCCTGAAAGGCGATTTCGCAGCAATAAACAAGGAGATGAAGCAACTCAAAGAGGCCACCCGGCATCTTCAACTCGAAAGCATAAGAAACAACAAAACGAAGATAGCAGCCCACTCAAACGGAAACGACGCCCACGTGAAATAGCAAATTGAAAGCCAACATCCAGCAACCAATGAAAACCGCAAAAGCCGCCATGACAGCTGAACAACCACGCCCACCAGCCCTGAGAAACCTCACAGCCCACAACCAGATGACATATGTCCGCCGCCCAGCCACGCCCACCTACCTCATTCTGACAGAAGCAACTAACCTCAGGCAGAAATGAAATCGCCACAACAGAAACGACTATAACTGGAGAACAAAACTCCAGACAACAAAACACCGCTTCGATATAACCAACGCTCATTCTAGGAGCCGGTTGAAAGAAGCAAGAAGTTTTTCGTTTTTTTTACCAACACCAGTACCAGTACTAGAGACAGCATTGCAGATATAGACAATTTATTTCATGCGAACGAAAGAAGAAGAAGAAGAAATCATGCAGGATGTTGACGTTTTTCTTCTTTTTGGTCTGCAGTATTGTAGGAATTGTTTTGGTAGCCTTTTGCTGCCCATTTCTGTGGACCTCTCATGCCTGTGGAGCATTAGGAATATGGGGCTAGGCTCATTTTTATTGACTAGTTGACGCTGGATCGGTGATGTGGTCAGTATTACCTTGACCACCTTTACTTCCCAGGGCATATCTCGTTACACATTTTAGGCTGATTTGACCTTGACAGTGGATGTCCAGAGAAGCCCTCCTCTTTTTCTTTGCGTTTAGCAGCTGTGAACTTTGCTGGAAATACTGTTCACACACTTGTGGATTTTAGCCCTTTTCCAATACTTGAGTTTTGCGTGCATATCTGTTTTACAGCTCTGCTTATTTGTACGCAGACTGGTGGTTCCTCACCTTTGAAGCAGATGCGCGCCAATAAGGTGGCAATGGTTCTGGCCCCCCCCCCCCCCCCCCCCCCCCACCCCTTTCCCAGTGGGATCCCACAATCTACACAGTGGGAAAGAAACCCTTAAATGAACATTGCTGAGAGAAGCCTAAGCTACTCTGGGGTCACTACTGAGTGTGCCTGGCCCTGGCGTGAACAGTTTGTCAAAGAAGTCACCACGCCATTTTGGAACTTTCTAATTCACTTACACACTTGCTGGACCTTCACTTGCCAATGAATTGTATGTTAGTTTCACCTCCTCAGGCATCTCATTTCACAAATGTTAATTTCACATAGGTTGGTCTTTAATAATGTCCAGGGGGCTGAGTGGTCTTGATGCATGGTGTCCGCTTCGAGTGCTGGAGGTCTCTGGTACAGGTCCCGGTGAAAGCTGGGTTTTTTCATCTTGACTTCTAGAAATTTCCCTGGGATCTGGGTAGTATGTATTCTTGTGCACGTAAAAAATCCCTTGGTAGTTTCAAATCGAAAAAAGTAGCTTAACAGCTTCCCAGGTAAAATTTGGAGTTAAAATCTACCCAAAGTATTTCAGAATCCTTGTCAGTGCTACAGAGTTTGTGCACTGCGCTGAGATTCTTTGGACTCAGGCTTGAGTTAAAAGTAGAATGGAGCACTTATGGGTTACTACACGTGTGCCATGATATTGATACATTGTTCAAACCATTCAGTTGATAATGTCCAAGTTTGACCCTAGTAGCACAGCAGAATAAGCTGTTAATAATCTGTATACTTATGTTTGGATGTCTTAATAACGATGTCAGTTGGTATATAAGTGCAATGACTCAATGGCATCTTTTTCTGTCAGTATTGTAGGTAAAAATCAAAATTGTTGTGAAATTTAAAAAAAAAAAACTTTTTTTTTCTGAAAACAAAACCCCGAACAGCTCGATGCCTGATTATATGTCTGCGGTGAACAGTGCCATTACTCCAGCAAAATCTCTCATCATGGTAAGTTAGCACAGTTGCTGATTAATTTTTTTTAAATAATGGTTTCTTGCCACTGGTTTGTAGTGGTAAATGTGTACACTGATTTATACTGGTAAATGTGTATACTGATTTGTAAGGGTAAATGTGTACACTTATTTGTAATGGCAAATGTGTACACTGATTTATAATGGTAAATGTGTATACTGATTTATAGTGGTAAATGTGTATACTGATTTGTAGTGGTAAATGTGTATACTGATTTATAATGGTAAATGTGTACACTGATTTATACTGGTAAATGTGTATACTGATTTGTAATGGTAAATGTGTACTCTTGTTTGTAATGGCAAATGTGTACACTGATTGATAATGGTAAATGTGTACACTGATTTATAATGATAAATGTGTATACTGATTTGTAGTGGTAAATGTGTACACTTGTTTGTAATGGTAAATGTGTACACTGGTTTGTAGTGGTCAATGTGTACACTGATTTCCCTGTATAGGTTCAGGGGCCCCAATGGGGGCGGGGGGGGGGGGTTGATACTTTCCTCTGACAAGTTATGTTGTAAAAGTTGACTAATTAGAGTCCATCTGCATGAGAGGTGAGAAACCAACATACAAATAAGCCTGCATACATGTTAGCCAGATCTGGGAAATGGATATGCACACAAAATTGAAGTTCAGGAACAAAACCAAAGTCCAGAAGTGGATGAACATTCAGAATCCCCTTCACCTCTTCCGACCCCAGAGCTTACAGCTGATGAATGCTAAGAAAAAGAAGAAGTAGACTGGATTAAAGTGTTAAATTTGTACACTTTGTAATGGCAAGTTTGTAGGAGGATTCAGAGCAATAAATATGTACGTGGATTTTGAATGATAAATTAAAATGTGGATCTTAGTGGTAAATGTGAATGTTGATTTATAGTGATAAATTTGTGCAATGAATTGTAATAATTTATTTAAATGATTTGTAATGTTAAATCTGTAAGTGGATTTAAAGTGATATCTGCGTTCAGTGGAGAGATTATATCCAGGCAGACCTACAAGCACTTGGTGTCACCAACTGGAAAGAGAAGGCCAACCAGAGAGATGATGGAGGTGGGTAATATCTGCAGCAATGAACCTTAAGGGATAGGAATGCTGAAGAAGAAGAAGAAGAATATCTGCCTTGATTTATAGTGGTAACTTTTCTTTGGGTGGATTTATAGTGGTAACTTTTCTTTGGGTGGATTTATAGTGGTAACTTTGTATGAAGATTTGAAATGGTAAATTTGTGAATGGATTAGGATTAATAGTGTAGAATTTGTGTGTGAACTTTTTTTTAAAACTAATATGAAACTTTAACAAATACCTATGTAGATTTTGGAGCCCTTTTGGGAGAGAGGAAAGAGAGAATTGGCCCACTGTCTCCGTAACAAGCACATTGTATAAGGCAACTAATTATGGGTTTATGAAATTAGATGTGTTGAGCTGAAAGGTACTGATGTCACAGCCTAGCTGTAAATGATGCAGCATCATGTCGACCATCCTTTTAAGGGCAAACACGGAGGAGGAGATTGATCAAGACAGTAACAGTTCTCTTGTTGTTATTCCGTTTTCTATTGACCTATTTATTTCCTGTTCCAGCCGTCAAATTGCTTTATGGGAGACAGTGCCACACCTTGTTCTGGTCTAGATCTGGGCTCCAAAAGAGGTAGGTGTGTTGTGGTTAGTGCTCAGTCTCTTACAAGGCTGCTACTGTTACTTTCAGTGACTTAGATCAGTACGACCCAGTTACCTATGACCAGCTGTTTCACACTCCATATTTTTAAAATAAAAAAGTACAGTAAAGGACTTTTTCCCCATGCCTTAAGGCGTATTGGGCATATAGAACTAGACCTATATTTTATAGACCAATCGGTACTTGGTGGTCCGCATCAAGCCAGTCGCCTTGCAAGGCTGGGTTGACCTGGGAGCCTAGGTCATTTTATTGCTCATGTGGGTCCCCGGATCCCATTGTGGGGAGAAAAAAAACAAGAATAGACCCACTGCCTCCCCAGTAGACATGTTGTAGGAGTCGACTAATCAGAGGTTTCCTTTAAAGTCGGAGTGCATCTGCCTGAGGGAACCAATCGCCTGCATATAAATAAGCCACATCTGTCAGACGGATGTGCACTCAAGTCTCAGATTCTGGAACAAGACCGAATTTACAGCTGGTAAATGCAAAGAACACGATGAAGAAGAAATGCAGTGAAGTTCATCCCCTGAACTTTGAATCTGAAAACTGTTATGTTTACAACACATGTTTTTCATTTTATTGAAAGATAATACATTTCTTGTGTTGTTTATTTACAGGAAACCAGAATGGTGGAAAAGATTCTTCAGGAGAGTTCAGTAGCTCACAAAGTGCTACACTTTCATTTCGGTAAGGGGCGTCATATGATGATGTATTTCTTTTGTTAAAAAAAGATTGGAAAAACAGAAAAACTGTGTCAGCTTTACACTAGAAAAACCAACGGATGGTGCAGCAATTAGCTTTCATTAGCAGAAAACAAAGAGAAACAAAAACAATACGCAAAAAGTTAACTCTGAAATGACTGCTCTTCATATGGGTTCCGTGGCTTGATTTTGTGGAGAGAAAAAGAATAGATCTACTGCCCCCTTGCCTAAAAGCATTTTGTAAGGCAAGGCTATTTAACTAAGTTTACTTGTGGGCAAAAACTTTATTTAAGGGGTTCATCGCGGGCCATAAGCCCGAGCCTAGCACAAAAAGATCATTTTTAAAAAAAATACAACTAGCAGTGATCCGTGGGTCATTTACTAGGCCTCTGCTTGCCTAATGTGGCCCGCGTGCTGCCAGTTAAATAGCCCTGTTGTAGAAGTGGACTAATCAGGGGTGTTTCACCAACGTCAAGCAGCATGGACTTTAAGAAGGATATGGCTAGACGTGACTACCAACGGCACGTAGCATGGATTTAAGAAGAATCTTGATTTGATTTGATTTGATTCAAGAACCGACATCACAGCACTCAGGGCATTCCAATTTGTGCTCCGTCCCCATCTTCAGCATCCAGCAAAGAGTTTCAATACTAATGGTGCGAGTAGCATTCTGATTAAACGTCTGTCTTGCCTTTCCCGTGAGCCTCGAGCATCTGCCAGAACCTCTCGTCACCCCCCCCTGCATCAATCTCACCAGACTGGTGAGCCATCTGCTCCTCCGAACTGTACATGCTCTCCCACAAGGCACTAACCACATCTGCCTTATCATGCATCAGTATTCCACCAAGTTGTGCAGAGTAGCTTGTCTGTCCGCCTGTTCATTTCCCAAAACACCGGCGTCGCCAGTGAAAAAATCCAGGCAATACACCTCACCCGTGTCCTCAGCAGTGAGGCATGCCACTGTGTACGAAGCATGCCTGTCCTGATCTTCCTCATCATGCTTTCTGAGTCAGTTACATTCACGATGTGTGTGTGTGTGTGTCGTGTTCTCTAACCAGCGGAAAGCTGCAGTGACTGCCTCCACCTCCATTCTTAAGCTGGATGTTGTGGTATCATATGATAGGCTCTCCTGCACCGAACATCGACCATTAACGTTTGCTAAGAAACCCCAAGCACTTCTTTTGCCTCTTGACACTGAACCGTGTGTATAAATGATCAAATCCTCTGAATGAGCATTATCGTGTGCCAAACTAGCTTCAACATTTCTCTCTAGTATGGCTTTTAAAAAAAAAAAAGGAAGCCAAACTGGACGTAATGATGAAAACTACCAGCACAAGCACTACATCTGAAACGATCTGATGTGAAATGAAAAGGTCAGCCTAGGACAGAGCTATTTAGTTACCCTAGGGCCAAAATGCTGATAATGGGGATCGTCACAGGACAGAGGACATGGTGGGAAGTGGTAGGACACCACAAGTTTTGGGGGAAATTTCTTAGTAAAATCTCTTTTTTCCTCTTGTTTGCCTATCTTTTTTCTTCCAGAAATTTGCCCCAAAATGCTTCAACTACTTTTTTAGATTATCTATTGAGGTGTGAAATGATTGTCCGAAACAAAATTTTCAGCTCTTGGAAAATGTCAATTGTTCGCAAAACCTGACAGCAGTGTAAAATGATCATTTACGCAGTACAACTAACAGTGATCCTTGGGCCACTTTCTAGGCCTCTGTGGAACACATTTGGCCAATAGATGGCCCTACTCTAGGAAAATATGGATTGATGACATTAAAGAGCTTCTATGTCGGCACAGAATGACTAGCCATTGCTGCTCATTAAGGAATGAATCGCAAACTGCACCACCTCTCCCTGTGATGCTCAGTGGCAAAAGTGGAAAATTGGTGATGATGGCGATGTATAACAGAATACCAAAGAAGTAATTCATTTGTAGTGATGAATCACAAACTGGGTAAACTCCCTGTTTTTGTCTGCAAGTTAGTTCACTGTGAAAGTGATCTGTCCTTTCAATTAATTTACTCAGCAAAGGTCTGACCTTTTTTGTGTGTGTTGGTACTCAATCCAGAAAATTTCGGCCTTTGAACTTGGGTCCACCGCGGAGGGTGAAAGTCGACCCAGCCTTGAAGAAGCTGAGTGATGATGAAGACGAAGCATTCCAAAGTCAGGAGATGACATTCTCTGACCCGGAGTCCCATTCACAACCAGCAACTGGTATCCTGGGACCAGCAGAGGCCCAGCTTGGTCAGTTTTAAATTACATCTTTATTAGTCGTCATTAACCTCATGTAGCAAGTCTTTTGCAAGTTGTTGGTCTCATAAAAACCTAGTAGGAATACTTTAATAAACCAGGCAAATAGTAATGTGGTTTCTCTTAATGGTATTCCACTCCAAGACGTGGAGTTGTACACCTATTTGGGCAGTAATGTACATAAATTTGGGGGAAGCTTATATAAATATTAAACTACGAATACAAAAGGCAAGAGGAGCTTTCATAGGCCAGTCAAATTTGTGGAGGTCAAAACAAAATTAAAACTAATATTGAACCTAATATTTTTAATTCTAGTGCCTTATTTTTTTTTTTTTTTTAGTATCCAGAATCCATAAGTTGTAAACCCTTTGGCTCGGTACAGTGGATATCTTAACCCTTTGGCCTTGATTCCATTATAGGTACCGTTAATCTGGGAGAAATGTTTCTTTTCTGCCTACCCCCGGGAGTGAACCCGGACCACAAGGAGTTTGTCACCTGGTCGCCGCGAAAGTCAGGTTTAACCAACTACGCCAGAGAGCTGGGCTAATTCTAGTGTCAAATCAGTGCTGGTGTACATGGAGCGGAAACATGGAGAACAACTAAAACAGTTACTAAAAAAAACTGCAAACATTCATTAACTGGTGTGTCTGCTCAGAATAAAGGGAATCAATAAATATGATATAATCACTAATGTTGAGCTTTGTGAGAGACCTAAACAAGTTCTGTTGATCAGTGTGTGAAGAAAAGATGCTGGCATTAGTTAGGACCCTTGTTGAGAAAGCCTGAGAACAATATAACGAGAATCTCTTTGCAATGGAAACTACAATGGCCTAGAGTTAAAGACAGACATGCACAAAACATGAACAAAGGGAGCCAGAGAGTGAAGTTAATAAGATGGGGGAGGACATGGGGTGAGCTGCATGCAATTGCAAAGAATAGAATGACTTGGCGGAGTTGGTTGAGGGCTTGTGCTCCATTAGGGAATAGGAGGCAGCAGAAGAAGAAGAAGGAATACTTTTAATCCTTCAACAAGCCCTGTCCCTAATTTTTATGCTGTTAGAGTATTTATTGTCCCGTCAGTGAATCATTGAGATGCCATCTCCACAGTAGGGTTGTCTGTAATGAATTTCTAACATGCTCTGTCTCTTGTCTTTGTTGTAAACTTTCAGACTGATATTTTTCCTTCTCCACATATTGTCCTCCCACTTGTATGTTTGTCTGCCTCTTGATCTCTTGACTTCCATTTTTCCTTCCAGTATAGTTTTCTAAAGAGTGTTATGCCATTTTTTGGTGGCTATATTTAATTTGTCTGCTTTTTTTCCTTTTGAAACTTTTCTTCATTCCTAGTATTTTGAGGGGCGCGCTGTCTTGTAGCGCCCCTGTCTTGTAGCGCCCCTGTCTTGTAGCGCTGCTGTCTTGTAGCACCCCTGTCTTGTAGCGCCCCTATCTTGTAGCGCCCCTATCTTGTAGCGCCCCTATCTTGTAGCACCCCTATCTTTTAGCGCCCCTATCTTGTAGCGCCCCTATCTTGTAGCGCCCCTATCTTGTAGCGCCCCTGTCTTGTAGCGCCCCTATCTTGTAGCGCCCCTATCTTGTAGCGCCCCTATCTTGTAGCGCCCCTATCTTGTAGCGCCCCTATCTTGTAGCGCCCCTATCTTGTAGCGCCCCTATCTTGTAGCGCCCCTGTCTTGTAGCGCCCCTGTCTTGTAGCGCCCCTATCTTGTAGCGCCCCTGTCTTGTAGCGCCCCTGTCTTGTAGCGCCCCTGTCTTGTAGCGCCCCTATCTTGTAGCGCCCCTATCTTGTAGCGCCCCTATCTTGTAGCGCCCCTGTCTTGTAGCGCCCCCTGTCTTGTAGCGGCCCCTGTCTTGTAGCACCCCTATCTTGTAGCACCCCTGTCTTGTAGCACCCCTGTCTTGTAGCACCCCTGTCTTGTAGCGCCCCTATCTTGTAGCACCCCTGTCTTGTAGCGCCCCTGTCTTGTAGCGCCCCTGTCTTGTAGCGCCCCTATCTTGTAGCGCCCCTGTCTTGTAGCGCCCCTGTCTTGTAGCGCCCCTATCTTGTAGCACCCCTATCTTGTAGCGCCCCTGTCTTGTAGCGCCCCTGTCTTGTAGCGCCCCTATCTTGTAGCACCCCTGTCTTGTAGCGCCCCTATCTTGTAGCGCTGCTGTCTTGTAGCACCCCTGGGGTAGAGCCTGTTCCTGTTCCACCTTTCAGTATCAGGCTTTGAAGAGCATCTGGTGTGAGCCTTGATGTGTGCCACGTAGATACTGGTATTTATGGCTGTAGATGCTCCATCTGTCCATCGCTTGTGTGGGCATTATATATATTTCTTCTTCTTGTTCACCAGCTGTAATCTCCGGCGGAAAGTTCTGGTGTTCGTCCGCTTCTGAACTTTGGTCTTGTTCCAGAACTTGAGTTTTGTGAGCACAAGTTTTACAGGTGTGGCTTTTTTGTGTGCAGACTGTTGGTTCCTCATTCTAATACAGATGTACTCCGACTTGAAGGTAATATCCCTAATTAGTCAACTTTAATGACATGCTTTTAATGGGGGGGGGGGGGGTGAGGAGCGGTCAGTGGGGCTATTTTTGCTCTTCCCTAAAATGGGCCACAGAATCAACACGGGGAATTTTCAGTTACAACTGTCATCTTCTAATAATTTTCTACCTCCTTTGTTTCCAGGCAGCTCAGTTACCAACACCACAGAGCAAGTCCAAACACAAAAACATGCGAGCATTCTCCAAGACAGATCCCATCAAAGAGCTGGTACCAGTCTTTTCACAAACGTCAAGCCTGATGTATTGTCAGCTTCGGAGAAAACAGACTCTGGGTTCCCACTGGATAGGTCCTGTCAGAAATCTGGAACCAAGTCATTTCCAGCTGCCAAATCTGACACATTGACCCATTTTCTTCCAGCAAGAGCTGGTACATCTGGGTTTCCCTTCGTTTTACACAATAAATATGAAACTAACAGCATGTCGGCTCATCCTTCTTATGAAGCGCCAAAAGTAGCTGACAAGACGACCATTGGAGATACCATTCTGAGAAATGAAATTTCTGCAGTTCTCAGGGTTCGGCCTGCCCCATGTCCGGGGTCTTCCAGAAAGTTGCAACTGCAATCTTCTGATTCTGCAAACCAACTGACAGCTGAATTGTCTGCACCTATGGCTCAGTTGTCAGATGATGCACATCCAGTTTGTTCTAGAACATCTGTTAGTGATCAACCCGACGACCATCAAAAGGGTGAGTCCACCAAAGAAATACTGATAAAACAGCAGGAGATAATACAACAGCTTCTGCAACAACAGCAGCAGCAACAACAGCAGCAGCAGAGTGTGGTTAATAACAAGACATTGTAAGTATATTAGTGGCGATAAATGTTGACAGAAAATGAAAATGTCAGTTAATTTTGTGTGTGTATTATCTATAGTTTGAAAGTGGTGATATCACAGTCAATAGACACTAGCCTGCTAGTCCAAACTCTTGGGTTTGTATCCACAGTGAGATGGAGTTTTGTAATTGGTCTCAGCTCCCACATTGGCCCAGCCTAAAAGGGATATCAGGGAAGTTGCTGTTGTTATCGATTCAGCGGCGCATGAGCTTTGGTCCAGTGCCATGTAGTGGAATTTGCATGTTTTCACAAGCTGTTCTTTTCGTCCGTACAAGGTGTTCCATTTGTCTGGTCTCGGAGGGAGTAGCATTCTTCTAGTCTCACTGAGTTTATATCTGGGAAGTAAAAGCGACCCAAATTTTGTGAACCCTTTCACCCTAAGAAGTTGAAATACTGCCAATTTCTATTGTGTCCAGTTTCCCCATAAATGTCACTTTTCTGACTTATCTATAGTAACCCGCTTACAGACATATAGTTAAGGCTGTGTTTTCCCGCATGCAACCGTTTAAGAGGTCAGAATATTGAAACATTTACTAAAAATATAATTTAAGTGGGGTTTTCCCCTTTAAGCAAAGTGGCTTTTTTTAAAGCCAATTAGACGTAAGAGTGACCTCTAAGATTCAGTTAGAAGGGTCACGGGGTCATAGCGTGAGTTACCTGTTACATATGCTTTTTTTTTTTTTTTTTCAAATTGACTTTGCCAGGTTTGACTCAGCCTAAAATGGGAACCAGGTGTTGTCCTGGGAAATAAAAAGTTTGCCAGTGTGATGCTGACCATATCACCTGTGAAATACTGATTGGTGGGAGTTTCTGAGGTGAAGAGGTCAAGCTGTTTGCCTCATGCGCTGAAGGCTGTGAGTTTGTTTTGTGGCTGCGTCACTCTGTTTGTGTGTGCAATTTTTATGACAGTCTCTATGGACTGTCGCCGGAGCTAAAGAGTTTGTGCTCCATTACTTACCTTATTACACTTACAAAAGATAGCCTGCCATCCTTTGCTGGTCAGGGTACAGTGAGAACAAAACATTAAATTATAATTATCACAAATAGAGGCAGACCAAAAAATACATGGAGAAGGGAGCTAGAGAGTGGTTGACAAAGATAAGGACATGGGAAGAGCTGCATGAGAGAGCGAAGGAGAGAATGATTTGTTGTGAGTTGGTTGAGGGCCTGTGCTCTGTTAAGGGTTAGAAAGGATGAAGAAGAAGAAGTTATCACATTGTTTTACTTCTGTGTAACACTGTTGATAATTTGTGTTTCCTGGTGAACTTGTTCACAGTTCGGTCCATGAGTCGCAGTCAGGCATCGCACCTGCAAAATCTCTCACTCAGGTGAGTGTCCTTGTTATAGATTATTTCCTCCTTATAAATTACAAACTGAGGGATTGGGGAGTGATAAGCTGAGGGAAGGAGAAGTGATATTTAGTGTCATATATGGTTAAGGGAAGTCATGGTTGGGGGTAAAGGGGGAAGCTGTGTGGACTTGTCATGATAGAGAGGTAGGGGAAAGCTCTCTAGGCTTCTCATGGTAGAGAGGTAGGGGAAGCTGTCTAGGCTTGTCATGGTAGAGAGGTAAGGTGCGATGTCTAGGCTTGTCATGGTAGAGAGGTAGGTAAAGCTGTCTAGGCTTGTCATGGTAGAGAGGTAGGGGAAGCTCTCTAGGCTTGTCATGGTATAGAGGTAGGGGAAGCTGTTTAGGCTTGTCATGGTAGAGAGGTAGGGGAAGCTGTTTAGGCTTGTCATGGTAGAGAGGTAGGGAAAGCTGTCTAGGCTTGTCTTGGTAGAGAGGTAGGGAAAGCTGTTTAGGCTTGTCATGGTAGAGAGGTAGGGGAAGCTCTCTAGGCTTGTCATGGTATAGAGGTAGGGGAAGCTGTCTAGGCTTGTCATGGCAGAGAGGTAGGGGAAGCTGTCTAGGCTTGTCATGGTAGAGAGGTAGGGGAAGCTGTTTAGGCTTGTCATGGTAGAGAGGTCACTGTCTAGGCTGTCATGGTAGAGAGGTAGGGAAGCTGTCTAGGCTTGTCATGGTAGAGAGGTAGGGGAAGCTGTCTTGGCTTTTCATGGTAGAGAGGTAGGGGAAGCTGTCTAGGCTTGTCATGGTAGAGAGGTAGGGGAAGCTGTCTTGGCTTGTCATGGCAGAGAGGTAGAGGAAGCTGTCTAGGCTTGTCATGGTAGAGAGGTAGGGGAAGCTGTCTTGGCTTGTCATGGTAGAGAGGTAGGGGAAGCTGTCTTGGCTTTTCATGGTAGAGAGGTAGGGGAAGCTGTCTAGCTGTCATGGTAGAGGTGAGGGAAGCTGTCAGGCTTGTCATGGCAGAGAGGTAGGGGAGCTGTCTAGGCTTGTCATGGTAGAGAGGTAGGGGAAGCTGTCTTGGCTTGTCATGGTAGAGAGGTAAGGTGAGATGTCTAGGCTTGTCATGGTAAAGAGGTAGGGGAAGCTCTCTAGGCTTGTCATGGTAGAGAGGTAGGGGAAGTTGTCATGGTAGAGAGGTAAGGTGAGATGTCTAGGCTTGTCATGGTAAAGAGGTAGGGGAAGCTCTCTAGGCTTGTCGTGGTAGAGAGGTAGGGGAAGCTGTCTAGGCTTGTCATGGTAGAGAGGTAGGGGAAGCTGTCTAGGCTTGTCATGGAAGAGGGATAGCTGCTGTTATGTAAGCATCTCCTCACAGTTTAGATGATGGAAGAACTATGCTGATGTTTAGTGATTGAAAGAAATGTGGGGAGATAAAAGAATGTGGTAAGATTGAATTAAACATGAAGCTGTAAAGGTATGTCACAGATAGAGAGGGAGTTTATATATTTACGTCACAGCTGAGGAAGAGGTGAAGCTATTCAGGTGTGTCACAGCTGAGGGAGAGGTGAAGCTATTCAGGTGTGTCACAGCTGAGGGAGAGGTGAAGCTGTTCAGGTGTGTCACAGCTGAGGGAGAGGTGAAGCTGTTCAGGTGTGTCACAGCTGAGGGAGAGGTGAAGCTATTCAGGTGTGTCACAGCTGAGGGAGAGGTGAAGCTGTTCAGGTGTGTCACAGCTGAGGGAGAGGTGAAGCTGTTCAGGTGTGTCACAGCTGAGGGAAAGGGGAGCTTTATGTATGTGTTGCAGCTGAAGGAAAGAGGAAGCTTTCTGTAGGTGTTGCAGCTGTAGGAAAGGGGAAGCTTTATGTAGGGGTTGCAGCTGGAGGAAAGGGAAAGCTTTATGTAGGTGTTGCAGCTGTAGGAAAGGGGAAAACTAGATATATCACAGCTGAGAGAGAGGGGAGGCTATACAGATGTGTCACAGCTGAAGGAAGTTTGAGCTTTGTATAGTCACAGCCACATGAGAATCTAGCTGTAACTTAGTTATGCAATAGGGAGAGAGCTGTCATCATAATTACCATCACTCATATATGTTTGTATATTTTGAATTTATTCACACATGACACCTAAAACAAAAAACAGCACCTCTGTAAAGACACCAACAAGAGATGACACACAATGCACTTTTAAAAAAAAACTTTTTTTCTTTCTGAAATAACAGTTTTAAAAAAAATAGGGGAAAAAGATATGGATTATTTTTCTTCCTTCTGGTTTTCTAGTCGGAACACAAAACCATCGTTGTTAATGGGAAACCATACACAGTGATGAACCTCGTAGGTCGAGGTGGCTCTGCCAAAGTGTACCGGGTGTACGACCCAGCAACAAACACCATCCTAGCTGTCAAGTGTGTCAACCTAGCATGTGCCAACCAAGTCATAGTCGAAGGCTACAAGAATGAAATCAATTTGCTGAAGAAACTGCAGCAGTGTGGCCGTGTTATTAAACTGTATGACTAGTAAGTTGCCTGTTTGTACAAGTGGCTAGTCACATTTGTTTTCCATGGCAAAATTTCACTTGCTAAACTTCACATATACTCGGTTCTAAATTTATGAGGTGGTGATAATTGCTAAACTTCACATATACCAGGTCCTGGATTTTTGATTTGAAGATTATATGCTAAATTTCACATAAGCTGGTTGGTAGATTAACAAGGTGGTTCCACGTGTGGGTTCTGGGGCCCTATTATAGGAAAAACAAGAACAGACCCACTGCCTACCCAAAAGCATGTCGTAAGAGTCAACTAATTGGGAGCTTTTTTTGAAGTCGGAGTGCATCCGCTTGAGAGGCAAGGAACCAGCAGTCTGCATACAAATGAGTCAGATCTGTAAAACATATGCACACGCAACGCTCAGGTTCTGGAACAGGACTGCAGTCCAGAAGTAGATGAACAACCAGAACTTTCAGCCAGAGTTTACAGCTGGTGAACGCAAAGAAGAAGAAGAAGGTGGTGACCATATACTTAACTTCACAGGTATACCAGGTCCTGGATTAACGAAGATTATATACTAGACTTCACATATACTGGTTCGTACATTAATGAGGTGAAGACCATATGCTAAACTTCACTTGTACTAGGTCCTGGATTAATGAGGTGGAGATCGTATGCTAAATTTCACATATACTGGTTCATACATTAATGAGGTGGTGGCCGTATGCTAAACTTCACACGTATACCAGGTCCTGGATTAATGAAGATTATATATTAGACTTCACATATACTGGTTCATACATCAATGAGGTGAAGACCATATGCTAAACTTCCCTTGTATTAGGTCCTGGATTAATGAAGTGGAGATCGTAGGCTAAATTTCTTCTTCTTTCTTTACGTCCTCTTTTATCACTTTGGGTGTCAAGGGAGATTTAAGGTCCTGCTTTGTGCTTTTCTGGCTGCTTCGACCATACACACATCATGGTGCTGTGGAGTTTCTCTGATATCTTCCCATCTTGTTCTTGGTCTGCCTCTTGCTCCACTTCCCTCTCTTTTGGTATATGCTAAACTTCACATATAATAAATCCCACCTTATTGATCTGATCATATGCTAAACTTCACATATTATAGGTAGGTCATAGTTTATTGCATCTTCTATTGTAAGCTTTTGTAACAAACACATTTTAGTCATGTTTTCCAACACACTTAACACAATAAACATGCGCATAACAACCTCACGTACTAACACTGTAGTGAAGGAGGGATTTAAGAAACGACCGTCATGGGTGGATCAGTGTAACCACTTGATTGATCAGAACAGATGGAGATTGGTAACTAAAGTGCTTGAGGTAGCTACTTGAAGTAGCCTAAGTAATTGAAGTAGGAAAGTAATTGAAGTAGCTGAAATAATTTAAGTAGCAAATAACTAAAGTACTTAAAGCAGTTGAAGTAGCTAAAATACTTAAAGTGGTTAAATTGCTTATTTATCTAAAATATTCAAGGAGCTTAAGTACTTGAAGGGATTAAGTTGTTTGAAGTGGTTAAGTTACTTGAAGTAGCTAAAATATTAAAATGGCTTAAGTACTTGAAATGGTTAAATTACTTGAAGTAGCTAAAATACTTAAAGTAACTGAAGTAACTCAAGTACTTAAAGCAGCTAAAGTACTTGAAGCAGCTAAAGTATTTGAAGCAGCTAAAATACTTGAAGTAGCTAAAGTATGTGAAGCAGCTAAAGCATTTGAAGTAGCTAAAGTACTTGAGGTAGCTAAAGTATGTGAAGTAGCTAAAGCACTTGAAGTAGCTAAAGCACTTGAAGTAGCTAAAGTACTTGAGGTAGCTAAAGTACTTGAGGTAGCTAAAGCACTTGAAGTAGCTAAAGTACTTGAGGTAGCTAAAGAATGCATTAAGCTTTTGGCCCTTAATATGTTAACTCTAAAGACAAGCATGTCGTGAAAGTCGACTAAAATGAAGTGCTTTCTTCAAAGTCAGAATGCATCTGCCTGAGATGTGAGGAACCAACAGTCTGCATACAAAGCCAGATCTGTAAAAATGGATGTGCATGCAAAACTCAAGTTCTAGAGCGAAACTAAAGTCCAGACGTGGACGAACAACCAGAACTTTCCACCAGAGTTTACAGCTGGTGAATGTGAACAGGAAGAAGATTTATCATAACTGATAGATTATGTTTGACCTTTCCAATGCTTTCTTTACTTCAGCGAGTATGTTGAAGCTAGAAAGAAGCTGTTTGTGGTGCTGGAGTATGGAGAGACGGATCTCTGCAAGTTTATATCCCAGAGTGAGAAGAACCCAACCTGTTTGCATCCAATCAACATAAGATACTTCTGGCTTCAGATGGTCTCTGCTGTCCATGCCATGCATCAGGAAGGTATGCCAGTGTTGGACATCTTTTTGTTGTTTCCTTTTCTTTCAGAAAACATATTTGTCATTACTGTTCTTTCTAAACCATTGAGACAGTTAATGTCGCAAAATTATTTAAATTTCCGAAGCATGATGCCTATATACCAACTGGTCCCTCTATTTATATTTACAACTAGTTAGATGATTGAAGTGCACCAGACACTCCAACTGGTTTCCTCTACAGACAGCTCCATGACTGTAGTGCACCAGACACTCCAACTGGTTTCCTCAACATACAGCTCCATGACTGTAGTGCACCAGACACTCCAACTGGTTTCCTCTACAGACAGCTCCATGACTATAGTGCACCAGACACTCCAACTGGTCCCCCCTCTACAGACAGCTCCATGACTGTAGTGCACCAGATACTCCAACTGGTTTCCTCAACAGACAGCTCCATGACTAGTGCATCAGACACTCCAACTGGTTTCCTCTACAGACAGCTCCATGACTAGTGCATCAGACACTCCAACTGGTTTCCTCTACAGACAGCTCCATGACTAGTGCACCAGACACTCCAACTGGTTCCCCCTCTACAGACAGCTCCATGACTGTAGTGCATCAGACACTCCAACTGGTTTCCTCTACAGACAGCTCCATGGCTGTAGTGCACCAGACACTCCAACTGGTTTCCCCTACATACAGCTCCATGACTGTAGTGCACCAGACACTCCAACTGGTTTCCCCTACAGACAGCTCCATGACTGTAGTGCATCAGACACTCCAACTGGTTTCCTCTACAGACAGCTCCATGACTGTAGTGCACCAGACACTCCAACTGGTTTCCTCTACAGACAGCTCCATAACTGTAGTGCATCAGACACTCCAACTGGTTCCCCCTCTACAGACAGCTCCATGACTGTAGTGCATCAGACACTCCAACTGGTTTCCCCTACATACAGCTCCATGACTGTAGTGCACCAGACACTCCAACTGGTTTCCCCTACAGACAGCTCCATGACTGTAGTGCATCAGACACTCCAACTGGTTTCCCCTACATACAGCTCCATGACTGTAGTGCACCAGACACTCCAACTGGTTTCCCCTACAGACAGCTCCATGACTGTAGTGCATCAGACACTCCAACTGGTTTCCTCTACAGACAGCTCCATGACTGTAGTGCACCAGACACTCCAACTGGTTTCCTCTACAGACAGCTCCATAACTGTAGTGCATCAGACACTCCAACTGGTTCCCCCTCTACAGACAGCTCCATGACTGTAGTGCATCAGACACTCCAACTGGTTTCCTCTACAGACAGCTCCATGACTGTAGTGCATCAGACACTCCAACTGGTTTCCTCTACAGACAGCTCCATGACTGTAGTGCACCAGACACTCCAACTGGTTTCCTCTACAGACAGCTCCATGACTGTAGTGCATCAGACACTCCAACTGGTTTCCCCTCTACAGACAGCTCCATGACTGTAGTGCATCAGACACTCCAACTGGTTTCCTCTACAGACAGTTTAATCATTGTAGGTCATCAGACACTCCAACTGGTTTCCCCTACATACAGCTCCATGACTGTAGTGCACCAGACACTCCAACTGGTTCCCCCTCTACAGACAGTTTAATCATTGTAGGTCATCAGACACTCCAACTGGTTTCCTCTACAGACAGCTCCATAACTAGTGCATCAGACACTCCAACTGGTTTCCTCTACAGACAGCTCCATAACTGTAGTGCTTCAGACACTCCAACTGGTTTCCTCTACAGACAGCTCCATAACTGTAGTGCTTCAGACACTCCAACTGGTTTCCTCTACAGACAGCTCCATGACTAGTGCATCAGACACTCCAACTGGTTTCCTCTACAGACAGCTCCATAACTGTAGTGCTTCAGACACTCCAACTGGTTTCCTCTACAGACAGCTCCATGACTGTAGTGCATCAGACACTCCAACTGGTTTCCTCTACAGACAGCTCCATAACTGTAGTGCTTCAGACACTCCAACTGGTTTCCTCTACAGACAGCTCCATGACTAGTGCATCAGACACTCCAACTGGTTTCCTCTACAGACAGCTCCATAACTGTAGTGCTTCAGACACTCCAACTGGTTTCCTCTACAGACAGCTCCATGACTGTAGTGCATCAGACACTCCAACTGGTTTCCTCTACAGACAGCTCCATAACTGTAGTGCTTCAGACACTCCAACTGGTTTCCTCTACAGACAGCTCCATAACTGTAGTGCTTCAGACACTCCAACTGGTTTCCTCTACAGACAGCTCCATGACTAGTGCATCAGACACTCCAACTGGTTCCCCCTCTACAGACAGCTCCATGACTGTAGTGCTTCAGACACTCCAACTGGTTTCCTCTACAGACAGCTCCATAACTGTAGTGCTTCAGACACTCCAACTGGTTTCCTCTACAGACAGCTCCATAACTGTAGTGCTTCAGACACTCCAACTGGTTTCCTCTACAGACAGCTCCATGACTGTAGTGCATCAGACACTCCAACTGGTTTCCTCTACAGACAGCTCCATAACTGTAGTGCTTCAGACACTCCAACTGGTTTCCTCTACAGACAGCTCCATAACTGTAGTGCTTCAGACACTCCAACTGGTTTCCTCTACAGACAGCTCCATAACTGTAGTGCTTCAGACACTCCAACTGGTTTCCTCTACAGACAGCTCCATGACTGTAGTGCTTCAGACACTCAACTTATTCCTCCTACAGACAGCTCCATGACTGTAGTGCTTCAGACACTCAACTTATTCCTCCTACATACAGCTCCATGACTGTAGTGCTTCAGACACTCAACTTATTCCTCCTACATACAGCTCCATGACTGTAGTGCTTCAGACACTCCACTTATTCCTCCTACATACAGCTCCATGACTGTAGTGCTTCAGACACTCAACTTATTCCTCCTACAGACAGCTCCATGACTGTAGTGCTTCAGACACTCAACTTATTCCTCCTACATACAGCTCCATGACTGTAGTGCTTCAGACACTCCACTTATTCCTCCTACATACAGCTCCATGACTGTAGTGCTTCAGACACTCCACTTATTCCTCCTACATACAGCTCCATGACTGTAGTGCTTCAGACACTCAACTTATTCCTCCTACAGACAGCTCCATGACTGTAGTGCTTCAGACACTCAACTTATTCCTCCTACATACAGCTCCATGACTGTAGTGCTTCAGACACTCAACTTATTCCTCCTACATACAGCTCCATGACTGTAGTGCTTCAGACACTCAACTTATTCCTCCTACATACAGCTCCATGACTGTAGTGCTTCAGACACTCCACTTATTCCTCCTACATACAGCTCCATGACTGTAGTGCTTCAGACACTCCACTTATTCCTCCTACATACAGCCAGTTTGATAGCATCAGTTCCCAGTGTGGGTTCCGAGGTCCCAATGTGGGGAAAAGAATAGATCCTTTGCGTCGTAAGAATCGATTAACTGGCAGCTTCTTTCAAAGTCAGAGTGCATCTGCCTGAGAGGCAAGGAACCAAAAGTTTGCATACACATGAGTCAGATCTGTAAAATGGATGTGCACGTAACACTGAGGTTCTGGAACAGGACTAGAGTCCAGAAGTGGACAAACAACCAGAACTTTCTGCCAGTTTACAGCCGATGAAAATAAAGAAGAAAAAGATAAACATGAAGATGAAGAAAAAGAAGATAGTGCGAGTATGCCAACTGGTTCATCTAACAGATTGTCAGTTCCACAGTTATAGTGTTGTTTCAGCAGCCAGTTCCTCATGTTTCATATACTCAAGTAAATTCAACATTGTGCAAAAACTGCTTTTTCAGGGGTCATCCATTCCGACCTCAAGCCTGCCAACTTCATCCTGGTATCAGGCGAGGTCAAGCTGATTGACTTTGGCATTGCAAACTCCCTGCAGCAGGACAGCACTAGTGTACTCAAGGACAACATGGTAGGGACGCCCAGCTACATGAGTCCTGAAGCACTGATGTCTGTTAGTCCATACACGGATGGGTCCAAGCCTACATATAAGGTAAAGAGGACTTACGCTCAGATTTATTACAAGTTCTGTAAGAAAAATTTTTACCACATCTATAAGCGTATTTGTATTGTCACTAGAAGGCTATTTGTGAGGTTGTGACCCAGAAGAGGTAGAGGTCATTGCCTGAGATGTGTCTACATGTGGGTTCCAGGGTCCCATTGTTGGGAAAACAAGAATTGTCCCACTGCCTCCCCATCAAGCATGTCGTAAGAGTCAACTTATTGGGGCTTCCTTCTGAGTCAGAGTGCATCTTCCTGAGAGACAAGGAACCAACAGTATGCATACAGATAAACAAGATTCTGTAAAACGGATGCACACACAACATTCAGATCCTGGAACAAAGCGAAAGTCCAGACATGGACCAAAAACCAGGTCTTTCCGCCTGGGTTTACAGCTGGTGAACGCAAACAAGAACAACAACATTGCCTGAGAGGTGAGGAATCAACAGTCTGCACACAAATAAGCCAGACCTGTAAAACGAATGTGCATGAAAAACTTAATTAGTCAAACAAGTGCAAAGTCCAGAAGTGGACAAACAACCAGAACTTTGTTGCCGGTGAATGCCGAGAAGAGGAAGACATGTTAAAGTATCCAAACTGTCTTCATTCTTGCTTTCTAGGTTGGAGTGCGGAGTGACGTTTGGTCATTAGGTTGCATTCTCTACCAGATGGTGTATGGGCATACTCCATTCCAACATGTCAGGCAAAAACTGGAGGCCATAGTCAATCCAGCTCATGAGATTCCTTTCCCTGACAAAGGAGATCCAAAACTGATGGATATTCTCAAGGTGATGTTCTTGTTTTTTTTTTTTTTTTGTCTTCATTGCTGTAAACAATGTCTGTCTGTCTGATGGTCTCTATTCGACTGGTCAGTCGGTACCTGTCTGCTGCTCTGTTTGTCTTACTGGTGGTCTCTGTTTGTTCAAACATAAATTTGTCTTTCAAACACAGTTTGTCTGTTCTGGTTTCCCAAGCTGCAGGCACTGTCTAGGTAAATACTTTTACTGGCTTGTATCTTTAGCTGTTATTTATGTTATTCTCCATGTAGCCACTGCTGTAAGTGAAGGAAGATCTTATTACATGTAAACCTATATTAGAACCACCACATACACACACACAAAAAGTTTAAGGTTTTGTGTGTATGAGAGACACTTTAAATTTGTTCCATTGACTCCCTGGGGACGACTAGTTAGGTACTACTGATCTTGTAGATCATAATTGATGACACTGTATGATGACCACATCCCTTCCTGCTATTTTGCTTGGATCCAGTCTTCAGTATCTCCCTCAGTTTGTGGCGACTGAGAACACCACTTCTGTGTTGGTTTGTTATTCTTTAAATACCCGTACAATGTTCATGTCTGACATGAAGTAGCCGTGTCGAGGTTGCCGATTCACATTCTTCTTAATTATAATTCCTGTCTCCTTGTTAGCACTGAGAACATTAGCCCAGTCCATTGCTTTTCCTATACCCACCATGGTCCTGCCAGCAAGCCAATCAGCTCATTCATTTCCTCTTAACCCATGAACATCCTAGCATGAAAATAAAAACTTGAATCCTCTCAGATGAAATTTTCTCAGCCAAGAGGCAAAAGGGCAGAGAGTAACGCTTGACTAATATAATTAAAACAGTGGTTTTAATATGAAAATAGAAAAATTTACTGTAAATCTTTTTAGCTTTTCATTTAAAAAAAAAATACTAATTAAACACTCATTCATATGTATATCACTTTTTTCCTCAGAAATGTTTAACCCGAAATATTTCGGCACGTCCGACAACCAGGGAGCTCTTGAACCATCCATATTTACAGAATTAGTTTTAAGATCGTTAATGAAGTCTGATGGTCATTAAATCGCTGAATACAGCAGCCACTGAGGAAAATTCTTCCAAGATGGAGGGGGTTGCTTTTAAGAAGTCCTTCTATACAGTGAACTAAATAAGACTCAAGAATTCACTCAAAATGTTTGTGTACACAACATACTTTTGTCATTATTCATTCATGATGGGTCTTCTGAGCACAGTTGAACTAAGCTGTGAGATTCTGAGTCCAGAGTCAGTGCTGCCACTGACTATTGGATCCCAGATCTCAAAGTCATTGCTGCCACTGACCTATGGGATCCCAGGTCTCAAAGTCAGTGCTGCCACTGACCTATGGGATCCCAGATCTCAAAGTCAGTGCTGCCACTGACCTATGGGATCCCAGATCTCAAAGTCAGTGCTGCCACTGACCTATAGGATCCCAGATCTCAAAGTCAGTGCTGCCACTGACCGATGGGTTCCCAGGTCTCAAAGTCAGTGCTGCCACTGACCTATGGGATCCCAGGTCTCAAAGTCAATGCGGCATCTGACCTATGGGATCCTGGTATCAAAGTCAGTGCTGCCACTGACCTATGGGATCCCAGGTCTCAAAGTCAGTGCTGCATCTGACCTATGGGATCCTGATATCAAAGTCAGTGCTGCCACTGACCTATGGGATCCCAGGTCTCAAAGTCAGTGCTGCATCTGAGCTATGGGATCCTGGTATCAAAGTCAGTGCTGCATCTGACCTATGGGGTCCTGGTATCAAAGTCAGTGCTGCATCTGACCTATGGGATCCTGGTATCAAAGTCAGTGCTGCATCTGAGCTATGGGATCCTGGTATCAAAGTCAGTGCTGCATCTGACCTATGGGATCCTGGTATCAAAGTCAGTGCTGCATCTGACCTATGGGATCCTGGTATCAAAGTCAGTGCTGCATCTGAGCTATGGGATCCTGGTATCAAAGTCAGTGATAGAAGCAGAGAATATTTATAAAACAGGCATGTGCTGATCTATCAATGCAGATATATTTTGTTTTTTAAAAACCGCCTTGAAAGTGAAGGGTGTACCCAATAACTGTCTTTGGGAATATTATGTCTGTAATCCACAGTACGACTCTCGTATCATTTTTCAGCATCCATCTGTCCTCACTAGGTATTTAGCACATTTTATTGTGGTGTAGACAGGGTGGTCGTGAACCTGAGAATTTAGGGTCGCAAGGCTAGTGCTGTCACCGAGGACTGTGCAAGTTAGGATGTTTAATTTTGTCACCGACGAGAAAACTCTATCACCTTATTTAGGGGTCGAATTCTGTCTCCTGCATGAGAGCCTGAAGTTATAACCGCCCAGCCAGTCACTCTTCTGGAAAATCAAAATAAATTTAAAAGTTGAAAAGAGGAAAAAACTGTCAGGGAAATCAGACCCAAAAGATCAAGGATCATGAGATTTCTAAACATATTCACTGACCTCTCAGCCACAGAGCCGGCACATACCTGGAATTAAAGAGCTGCACAAGACAGGCATCTGTGGGCTGTCACTGCTGTCTGTAGGTACCACTTATTAGGGCAGTGTAGACGGGGGAAGTCATGAACCCGAGAATTTAGGATGGCATGACTAGTGCTGTAGCCATGGACTTTATACTTTAGGATATTTAATTCTAACATCAGCAGAAAAACTCCATCACCTTATCGGGAGTCAAACCTGGGTCTCCCACATGAAAGATATCTAGTATGGAGTGATGAAGGCAGCTTTCAGACCAGCACGAGGGCTGAAATACTTAGGGCTACATTCATAAATGCTTGTTCAGTATATAACTTGAGTCATTTGATTAGTTCTTTGTTATGTGTACAGATTGTCATTTATAAAATGTATCAGTTGTAAAGTGTGTCATTTGTAAAGTGTCATTTATAAAATATGTGACATTTGTAAAATGTGTGACATATTTTCTTATAAAATAGTTGTTTCTCAAACTATAAAAGAGCATACATTCTTTCTTGGGTGTGAACTTGTGTTATCCATATACAAGGGTAAATCAAAATGGAAAGGCAGGTTTTCACAGAACATCTTTATTTCCACACAAGAAGAACTAACTACACATACATCATTTTTCCACATATACCCCTTGCATGGGCCTAATGGACATCCAACGAACCGCCAGACTTGGAGAGCTATGACCACTGCCCTATGTGCCGCCATAGGCTTAAGAGGAAAGACTAATTAACTGTCACCTTGCATGGCAATGCAGTTTTGGTATCCTGCAGTGAACTTCTATATCCCATCTGTGGTGTTTGGTTGCTCACATTTTTGGTTTTCACCGCCTTTGATTTTTCAGTTGTTCCTGATACTGGTTTCTGCCCGTTGGATGTTTTCTTCTGTGCAGGATTTTTTTTGGCATCCACTTGGATTGTCGACCATTAAACTTGTGCAAAGCCTTTCATTAAATCATTTTGCTTATTCCATACTGCGCTACAGCTGTCAGTTGTCAGCTGGTTTGACTCTCTCCTACCGCAGAGGGCGCACTACGATGCATTGTTCCTTGATGGTTCATTTGTGGAGTAGTGTGTTCATGCTTGTGATATTATTGCTTCACGAAACTTCCTGAATGGGGCGGTGATGGATACTACTTCTTCCACGTCACTCCAAGTATGCATTTGGTGACATCAGATACCCGTGTTTTTTATTTTATTTACCCTTGTACAGCACCCAGAAAACATGTATATCTTCTGTGTAATGTGCAGCACCCAGAAAACATGTCTATCTTCTGTGTAATGTACGGCACCCAGAAAACATGTCTATCTTCTGTGTAATGTGCAGCACCCAGAAAACATGTCTATCTTCTGTGTAATGTGCAGCACCCAGAAAACATGTCTATCTTCTGTGTAATGTGCAGCACCCAGAAAACATGTCTATCTTCTGTGTAATGTGCAGCACCCAGAAAACATGTCTATCTTCTGTGTAATGTGCAGCACCCAGAAAACATGTCTATCTTCTGTGTAATGTGCTCTGTGTTTGCTGTGGGGGCAGCCGGTGGAAATGATGTGTGTGTCAAGGAGCTGGAAATGTCTGGGCAACTACTGGTAACATCAGTTAAAAGACGAAGAAGTTGGTGTTTTTTTGGGGCACATCCTGAGAATATGCGAGCAGAGAATCACTAGACAGGCCCTAAATGGATTGAGAAAATTAGGAAGTCCACAGGAAACCTTAAAATAAACATTGGTGAGAGAGACAAAGCTGCTGGTCTGGGTGAGAGAGACAAAGCTGCTGGTCTGGGTGAGAGAGACAAAGGTGCTGGTCTGGGTGAGAGAGACAAAGGTGCTGGTCTGGGTGAGAGAGACAAAGGTGCTGGTCTGGGTGAGAGAGAGACAAAGGTGCTGGTCTGGGTGAGAGAGAGACAAAGGTGCTGGTCTAGGTGAGAGAGAGACAGCTGCTGGACTGGGTGGGAGAGAGACAAAGGTGCTGCACTGGATGAGAAAGAGACAAAAGTGCTGGTCTGGATGAGAGAGAGACAAAGGTGCTGGACTGGGTGAGAGAGAGAGAGAGACAAAAGCTGCTCGACTGGGTGAGAGAGAGACAAAAGCTGCTGGACTGGGTGAGAGAGAGAGACAAAAGCTGCTGGACTGGGTGAGAGAGAGACAAAAGCTTCTGGACTGGGTGAGAGAGAGAGAGACAAAAGCTTCTGGACTGGGTGAGAGAGAGAGAGAGAGACAAAAGCTGCTGGACTGGGTGAGAGAGAGACAAAAGCTGCTGGACTGGGTGAGAGAGAGACAAAAGCTGCTGGACTGGGTGAGAGACAAAAGCTTCTGGACTGGGTGAGAGAGAGAGAGAGACAAAAGCTGCTGGACTGGGTGAGAGAGAGACAAAAGCTTCTGGACTGGGTGAGAGACAAAAGCTGCTGGACTAGGTGAGAGAGACAAACGCTGCTGGACTAGGTGAGAGAGACAAAAGCTGCTGGACTAGGTGAGAGAGACAAAAGCTGCTGGACTAGGTGAGAGAGACAAAAGCTTCTGGACTGGGTGAGAGACAAAGCTGCTGGACTAGGTGAGAGAGACAAAGCTGCTGGACTAGGTGAGAGAGAGACAAAGCTGCTAGACTAGGTGAGAGAGACAAAGCTGCTGGACTAGGTGAGAGAGACAAAAGCTTCTGGACTAGGTGAGAGAGACAAAGCTGCTGGACTAGGTGAGAGAGAGACAAAGCTTCTGGACTAGGTGAGAGAGACAAAAGCTGCTGGACTAGGTGAGAGAGACAAAAGCTTCTGGACTAGGTGGGAGAGACAAAAGCTTCTGGACTAGGTGAGAGAGAGACAAAGCTGCTGGACTAGGTGAGAGAGACAAAGCTTCTAGACTAGGTGAGAGAGACAAAGCTGCTGGACTAGGTGAGAGAGACAAAAGCTTCTGGACTAGGTGAGAGAGACAAAGCTGCTGGACTAGGTGAGAGAGAGACAAAGCTGCTGGACTAGGTGAGAGAGACAAAAGCTTCTGGACTGGGTGAGAGACAAAGCTGCTGGACTAGGTGAGAGAGACAAAGCTGCTGGACTAGGTGAGAGAGACAAAGCTGCTGGACTAGGTGAGAGAGAGACAAAGCTGCTGGACTAGGTGAGAGAGAGACAAAGGTGCTGGACTGGGTGAGAAAGAGACAAAGCTGCTGGACTGGGTGAGAGAGAGAGAGACAAAGGTGCTGGACTGGGTGAGAGAGAGACAAAGGTGCTGAACTAGGTGACAGAGAGCTGCTGGACTTGGTGAGAGAGACAAAGGTGCTGGACTGGGTGAGAGCTGCTGGACTGGGTGAGAGAGACAAAGTTGTTGGATTGGATTCAATCCATTACATTGAGGAGATTGCACAGGACAGAACAGAATGGAGGAATGGTCTGCAAACTCTATGCGACATAATGGCACAACAGGACAGGGATGACAATTATGAAAGGTGCTGGAGTGAGGAGTGTCTGGCAGAATGGTTAAGGTGCTGGGCCCATATGCAGAAGGCTTGGGTTTGAATCCTCAGTAAGGTTATGGAGATTTTTTTCAGTCAGATAAAAAAAAATCCATACCTGATCAGAACTGCAGTGTGGAAGCCACTGGTGCCCCAATTATTTCTGTTGAGGTTGCACAGGATGTCTGGAATTTGCCCTGTTGGCTTGTCATCCAGACTAAGATTGTGTAATCTCAGATTTTCAGGTCAAAGACAGAGGGTTATTCAGACACAGCAGGACCCTGCTCTTTAAGTCAGCTTGACTAGCCCAAGACAAGAGAAGGAAATCTTAATACCAGTTGTTCAGCCTGTGCTGGAAGCTATAAGTGTTCAGCCTGTGCTGGAAGCTATAAGTGGTAATGTGATCCTCCAAGATAAAGGTAAAGTCGAGGGATGTGAACCAGCGTCATTGCACGCGATCCTCCAAGATTACGCTCAACCCCACCCATCTCCTATGGGGAATGACTTTTTGAGGTAACAAAGGACCATTAGAATGGTGTGGCCAGCTTATTCCCCTGACCTTTCTCTGATTCAGCATCTCTGGTGGAATGTCCTTGATTGAAGACAACAAATAACCCCCTGCCAATGGATACTGCAAAGCTGACTACATTTTTGCTTCAGGAATGTCAAGTTGTTCCTCAGGATACTCTTCAGACCCCCGTTGCGTCTTCGTGGTCTTGAATGCTTTGCCGCAAATGATGGTCAAACCAAATTTTGAAATTTTTATTGTGTTTTTCAACTTTGCTTGAATGTGTGTTTCCATTTCTTTACAAGAAATGTCAGTTTGGCATTCAATAGATGACTTTTTCACTAATGTCACTTACTCAAATCAGATTTATTTTCAACCAAGGTTTTTCTAAGTGGCCCTCGAAGAGTAGTAGATTTCAGTGTTTTTTTTAATTTCTTTGAGCAACTCTTCATTTCCTTAAAACTGAATTTTATTGTATCTGTTTCTACAAAATTTGACCATTTCTTCTGTATACCACATCTCCAGAGACTCAATTCAATTTTCTAATTAACTATTCCAGTTACTTTACCTTACACATAAGATAATTTACAAACTGGACACATTACTAGGAAGACATAAATGTTTAATGTATGCAGGTTTCAATGTAAATGACAAAATATAATCAAATTTCTGCAACATGTCAAACATAATTATACAGTGCAGACCGCTTAAAATGATCTCAAATGTCAAATGTGGCAGGTTTCTGTTGTAAAGAACATTTTTTTTTTAATCCCATGTAATTTTTCTTGCTTGAACTCTTATCTGGATAAAAAAAATTTCGGATTAGAAGAACAATTTCTTGAGTCCTGATTGTTCTCCTTATCAGGTCTGCACTGAATTGGTAACCATTTCTGCAAACAGATCTGTTCCAGAAGCTCAGCAACACACGTGTCCCTGTAGAGAGCAAGTCTCCCTGACTTGGCATGGATGGCTAGTCTTGCCTCATTCCAAACTGAACACATGAGAATCTAAACTGGACATATGCGAATCAAAATTTGACACGAGAATCCAAACTGGACACATCAGAATCTAAACTGGACACATGAGAATCCAAACTGGACACATGACAAACCTTGTCAACCAGCATAGGACTGGCACAGTTAATAATAGCAGAATGCTAATATATATGGTGGGGGAAACTTAGCACTTTTAGATGTATCCCGGATACTGTGAAGATAATTCAGTTCGTAACTTTCCCCATTTACAAGACATTCATTATTTACCTCTTTCTTTTTCAAAACCAAGACAGACCCAAATGATTTATGTCTCAGATACAACTACCCAAATTGGCAACCAGGCCATATCTTGGGTCAGACACTGCCACCAAGTGACAAAGTACTTTTTTCGCATTTCACCGGCTGCAAACTCGAGTGGAACTCACATAAAAGAATCCACTTTGAGCTTTAAACTGATGTTTTTTCTTTTCCAACTCTAGAATTATATATTTCTATCTCTATATAAATCCCTAATTAAAAACTAATCTTATAAAACAAATTTATATACTTATTAAATGTATGAATGATGGAAATTTTATTTAATTTTTAGTAAAAAAAATAATAATAAAGGTGACAGAAAAATTACAAAAATTTTATTTTATAATCCTTATTAGGAAAATTGCATTTGTGAACAAACAGAAATCTGTTGAGGGTTCTGTAGAGGCCTTAATCTGCAGCTTAATTAGCTTATGCCTGTATCTAGCACAACCTCGAGTGCACTGTCATGTTTTCTCTCTCATGTAACCTCCACCAGGTGTCTTTCTCTTTCATAACCTCAATCTAAATTTTTTTCTCTCTCATTATCTACAACACTTTCTCATACATTCATTTTCTCTTGTTATCTCCACTTCATATTTTTCCTCAACTCCCAAAATTTCACACGCGTCTCATTCATAATTCTGTCAGGGAAAATTTCTTTTTTTAATTTTCTGTACTTTCACAAGTTTCTCATTTTTTTTTCCCCATTTCAATTTACTCTCTCATCATTTACATCACATGTAAACATTTACTGTCTCCCCATCACTTTCATGTCTCTGTTGTGTCTTATTATCTCAATGACTTTTACATGTGTTTTCCCTGCCGCTTCCTCTCTCATTATTTACACATGTTGTCTCATCTCCCTATCACTTTCAAATGTCCATTCTCCCTCTCATCTCCCCATCACTTTCAAATTTCAGTTCTCCCTTTCATCTCCCCATCACTTTCAAATTTCTATTCTCCCTCTCAACTCCCCATCACTTTCATGTCAGTCTGTTAACCTTACACAGAAAATACAATTAAACTGATACACCAATAGAAAACTGGGGGGAAAAAAGAAAATGCTGGAACCTTCTGTCTAAGATTCCTTACAACATAAATCCAAAACACCTTTTCACACACTATAAGACAATTGCAAAAACAATTTTTTTCTGATCAAGCAGACTGTTCCGAGGCATCGTCATTGAGGTGATTTGTTTCGGCATACAGTTCATCCTCCCTGTCGGAATCCTCACAGAAAGACATCCGGGGTGTTGGCCGGAAACCTCGGCTGGCGTATGCTTGCAGCTTGTTGCATGAGGCCAGGAGCAGGCCGAGGTACGGAGGTGAGGGTTTCATTGGACGGGAGATGTATTCTGGGTGGAACTGTACCCCGACGTAGTATGGGTGACCTGTAACAACAAAATGATTGTCACAGTAAATCTATTTTCTCAAATCAACATAATCAAGACAACAACAAAAACGGAAGATTAGGAAAACTATGCTGATATAATGTTAAAAGTGAAACAAGAAGTGATTTTTTCATAAATAAAATCTGAAAAAGTGAAGACATAAAACTTTTCGCTTCTATTATATAAATGAATAAAAACACCCTATAAAATTGACATCAAATATATAAACAAGCTAGTACAAAGTAATGGGAAAAAACCATGAACTTGTCACACCAATACAAAGAGAAAAAAAAAGAACATTCACACACCTACATACAAGTATGAAATGTTTAACCCCTTTGCCTCTGGGAACATTAAAATAAAAATGATTCATGAACCCGAGGATATTCACGAAAAGAATCCTTAAGAAAAAAAATATTTTAAAGAGTAAACAATATTTTTTTTTAAAGTATTTATCTACATTTTTTTATTTGTTGTTTCCCCAGAATATATCTAGGGAGCAATCAATAAACACGATTAGAGTGAAGAGCTCAATGGAATAAATTCCCCAGTGTCAATTTTTTTTTTAAAAGCATGTATCAGGTTACTCGTGCTGTGAGGCTATCACTGAGGCTTACCAGAAAATCTGATGTCAACTTGGCTTCATAAAAGCCAATTGGTTCAAAGGAAATAACCTCTAAATGCTTTTTTTAGTTAATATAACAAAATATCAAGAAGATGTCACATTGACAAAAGCCTGTGCATAGTCACATGAAGAATGTGTCATAACAGGACGTAACTAGAGCTAGTTTTCATGGAGAAACAAGGAAAACAATTTCATTACTAGAGGTCAGTTAAATTAGAAAATAAATCAAGGCAAGATGCGCTCCTTGGTATCATGACAGCTCCTTGATATCATGACAGTTCCTTGGTATCATGACAGTTCCTTGATATCATGTTAGCTCCATGGTATCATGACAGTTCCTTGGTATCATGATAGCTCCTTGGTATCATGATAGCTCCTTGGTATCTGACAGCTCCTTTGTATCATGACAGCTTCTTGGTATCATGACAGAGTGCTAGCCTGATATTTTTTTTAGACTAAATAGCGTACAAGTAAAAAAAAAAGAGATCACTGGTGGTGCCTTAACCTCCACAGGAATCCCTAAAATCAACTTCATGAGGCTGTCAACCCTACAGGTCGGAGGGGGAAAAGCCACCATACTGAGCTAAGACGCTGCCAGCCATTTTACTTTCACATCACTATGACAACTAAATCTTTTCACTTCAGACAACCCCTGCACAGCAAATGGCTGTTTAAGACCTGTGTTACTCCCCACTTACCAACCCTCAATGATTAGTCGTGGGGTGTTCAATGACCTAAACTAACGTGGAGGGAGGTGATCATTGTTCCTTAACCAAGTGACAATAAAAGCCCTTGCCTTCCAACTCCATAATCTCCATGCGCTCTCCGTCCTCACTGCGGCCGATAAACTTCATCCCTTTCTCTTCCAAAGCAGAGACTACTTCTGGGTTCACCTAAACACAAATAAATACATAAAGAATACATGAACAAAAAACCTTATGTATTCGTGTTTACAACTGTGTCACTGTCCATTTATGTCATATGCTGATGAAGACTTCCTGACCTGAACGTTCATGACTGTGGCATTGTGAAGCTGAATATTTTCACTTCACATTTGGATATATATTTTATTTTCATAAAAATACTTCTTCATGTTCACCGCCTGTATAAACTCCAGCGGAAAGTTATGCTTTTTCGACCACTTCTGGATTTTGTTTGTTCCATAACTTGAGTTTTGTGTGCATATACATTTTACAAATCTGGTTAAGTTATTTGCAGACTGTTTGTTTCTTCACCTCCCACCTGGATGCACTTTAAAAAACAAATACTCATAATTAATCAACTCTTAGGACTAGCTCCCTGCTCCTCACACTGGAGTCCCGCAGCCCACACCAGCATTTCATGAAGACAAATATAAAGCTAGAGGTTCCGGGTTCAATCCCCAGTAAGGGACTTGGACTTCTAGTAATTCCCCCTGGTCTCTAGGTAGTGAGATTGGACGCCCGTAAGCATGGTTGCGCATGTAAAACAAAATCCCTTGGTTACTGGAAATCAAAAAGAGTAGCCTAACGGTGCTGCCTGGGCAAATTTTGGAGTTTAAAATCTATCCAAAGTATTTTAGGATCCTTGCCGGTACTACAGAGCCTGTGCACTGTGCTGAGCTTCTTCGGACTCAGACTTGAGTTAGAAGAACGGAGTCTTTATGGGTTACACCTGTTTGCCATGATGTTGATCCGTTGTTCAAAACCTAAAATACCTCAAATCAATGCCTTTCTTTTTCATAACATTTTGAAAAAGGTTACTTTAAAAAAAACTCTCGCAGGGCGAAACAAATCTGACCAGTTGGAACAACACTTGAATGCTACACGATTAACTCTTACCTCATATCTGTGTCTATGCCGCTCCTCCACAAACTCCTGGTTATGATAAAGTTTACCTGTGAGAAAATGATATAACTGACATTAGATGATTAACTGTGCATAAATATAAATCATTCTTTCTCATGTAGTAGCGGTTGATCTCCCAGCTCGTCATGTGGCAGAGCAAAAAACACTGACCTGGTTGGTGCCTGTCTCCTCCTGGCACATTAGGGCAACCACTCCTCCTGGCAAATTGGGGCAACCATTAAATATTTGGGCAACCATTGAGTGTTTAGACAGTACTATTACTGTATATTTGGGCAACCATTGAGTGTTTAGACAGTACTATTACTGTATATTTGGGCAACCACTGAGTGTGGAGACATTACTATTACTGTCAGCTGCATGTCTTAAAGGACATTGCAAACCCAGACCTGGATCTGGTTTCACGAAGCAATTTTTTTACATTGATATTTTGCCCGGGCTATGTAGGTTGTTTGGGAATGAGCAGGCAGATAAATTGGCTGGACTGGCCCCATTTGGCGGTGTACTGCAACTGCCCATGGCAGAGGCAATCTCTCAAGTAAAATGGAAGATACTTAAAATCTGCACCTGGAAAGAATGATGCAGCGGGGAGTGTCTGTAGGCTATGGGCGCCGCTCAAGGCTCGGGGGAAAAGTAGGACCAGTAGTTAATTAGGTGAAAATGGGTGCAATGGAGACTCTTCACTGGTCAGTGAGGAGGGAGACGAAGTACAACTAAGACAAGAGATAGAGTTTGTTGGAGATCCATCACAACCAACTTTCACCCTGGAGACGGCACCAGACTGATTAATTGTCAACATGTACTAACAACTATCACAAACAGATATTACATACGTAAAATGCTCTTTTCTGTTTTGAAATTGGTTTTCCGTTTGCCCAGTCGCATCGTTCCTCCCATCTGCCCTTGGTTGTGCTCTGGCATATCAATAACCTGTTGAAGGTCATTGATTATTTCATTATTCATCAATACAGGGTTCAGTACAGAGAATACAATGAGATATAATGCCATACCATACAAGGTATACACAAAAGAGAAGGCGAAAGAGGTTGAGCAAAAGGTAGACCAAGAACAAGATAGAAAGTTAACATCAAAGTAACTCAACAACAGCATGATGTGTCTATGGTTGAGGTGGTGTGAACAGCAAGAAACAGAACTTTATATCTACCTCGATGCCCAAAGTGGTAAAAGAGGAAGTAAAGAAATAGGCAAGGGTTAAGTTGAGAGTTAATATCATAGCACTTAAGAGGTTGAGTTGAGAGTTAATATCATAGCACTTAAGAGGTTGAGTTGAGAGTTAATATCATAGCACTTAAGAGGTTGAGTTGAGAGTTTATATCATAGCACTTAAGAGGTTGAGTTGACAGTTAATATCATAGCACTTAGGTTGAGTTGACAGTTAATATCATAGCACTTAAGAGGTTGAGTTGAGAGTTAATATCATAGCCTAGAGTTTCAGTTCACCCTCTCTCTGTTGCTAGTTAACGATGATACATATGCACACAGAACTCCCTCTGGCGATGATTCTGTTTATTTTTCAAGTACAACATTATATTATATTTTATAAATCTCAATAAGGTTTAAGCAATTTTATGTACTAAATGTATTCTAAATGTTCTCAAGATTGATAATATTTTATTTATGTTATAATCAAATAATTCTCACACAGCAATACTGCAAAACTTTTAGCCATTTCTTTCAAAGACATATACACATTTTTTTTTTAAATAACATTCCACAAAGACAAATCATGGAGTTTGTACCATCACAATCAAACTGTACCAATACATACAAAATATTAACACATAAAAACTGTACCAAAACATGTAAAATACCACACAGAAACTGTATCAAGATACAGAAACTACCAACACATCGAAACTGTACTAACAAACACAAAATCAGTACCAACACAAGAAAACTGTTGCAATGCAAAGAGATGACTGAGTTAAACAAGCCACAGACTTACAACTGGATGTTTCGTTGCCTGGTCAAATTCTGTGGAATTAGCACCTTCCCAATTGAGGACATTGCGAGCAAACTCAATGACTGCACACTGGAGCCCCAGGCACACACCTGGTATGGGAGCAAGTAAAATCTGTCACAAGAAAGGTCAACTATATGATTCTTATGATAAAGATTTTCATGAGGAAAATATCTGTGGCCTTTGCTTTATCTTTTTTTAAAAATCTTATTACAAGTTACCACATGCTCCTTTTGTTTGCACAATGCAGAATGATTTTAACTGTCAGTTTCTGCCATTTCAAACACCTATTATGTGTAGTAAATAACTCTGAAGGCACAATCCCTATCAACTACTTGCCCGTAGCGAAGTAAATTATGTCCTATTGAGGAATTAGTTCTGTCTGTGGTTGATCTTGCCATCCTTGCAGAATTTCCACTCACGAACATGGTTAATCCTTGAATTTTCACACTTCTAATATTACGAACAAAATTTAAGTTTCGAGCAAGAGACTTACCCAAGAATGGGACCTTTTTAGTTCGAGCCCATTTGCAGGCTAGGATCTTTCCATCTGTCCCTCTGATTCCAAAACCACCAGGCACAATGAGACCGCTGTGGAACAGACGTACACAGTTTCAAGAGATTACCTTGAATGTGCATCACTTTTTCATACTTCATAATAATATGTTAAAATATTCAGGGCATCGGAAGCCAAAAGACGAGATCAGAGCTCATCAAAAAGAAGAAAAAGATTAAAATAGGTCAGAGTTCATCAGGGACAAACAAAAATGGGACTGAAAGAGGTTGAAGCTCAATGGAAAAAAAGATATAAAACATAAAAACAATGTTAAAAATGTCTGACAACCGGAGACCAACCATGAAACATGAAGAAAAGAACATTTTAGGGGACTGACAGAACACACTCGCAAATACATTTGTCTATAGAAAACTATCAGATCTATCTGTACGCAATGAAGTAAACAATATGTTACAGAGGACATGTTAAAATACATAATTAAACTATTTTTGTAAGTTTTCTCCAGGTTTGTTCTGGGGTCCAATGTAGGGGAAATAAAGAACAGATCCAGACCCGCTGCCACCAAACAAGCATGCTGTAAAAGGTGACCAATTAGATCACTGAAACCAGGTGTGTTGGACCAAAAGCTGCAGATATTACAGTAAACTATAACACAACCTGGCATACACCTTTTTTAGCCCTTTCACCCAAGCAATAATAAAAACAATTGGGTCATGACCCCGTGGGAATTCTCAAAAAATCTTTTTAAAAATAACAATTTTAAATAGGTCACCAATTGTTTTTTTTTTTTATTTATGTACTCTTCTTTTAACTTTTATTTTAAGAAAGAAAAAAAAAACGGAGAATCATAGACAAAGTGAACCTCAAATAGCAGATAGTATACACATTAATGACATGAGAATATTGACTGATGGTATAATAAAAAGGAATGGTAATGGTTCGTACTTGGCCCCAGTGACTTCCCTCCAAGCTTCGTGATACCTTTGTGGGTTGTCTTGAAGAGTTTCTGGTTCTAAATCACAGGCTTCTATACACTGTGGGAGACACACATGCGCAGGTCATGAAATACACACAGTGGACAAAACACACACAGTGGACAAAACACACACAGTGGACAAAACACACACAGTGGACAAAACACACACAGTGGACATAAAACACACACAGTGGACATGAAACACACACAGTGGACATGAAACACACACAGTGGACATGAAACACACACAGTGGACATAAAACACACACAGTTGACATAAAACACACACAGTGGACATGAAACACACACAGTGGACATAAAACACACACAGTGGATGAGAAACACACACAGTGGATACGATATACAAATATAGGATATGATACACATAGTGGATACAATATACACATATGGGATATGAAACACACAGTGGATATGATATACACGTATGGGATATGAAACACAGTGGATATGATACACACATATGGGATATGAAACACACACAGTGGACATGATATACACATATGGGATATGAAACACACACAGTGGACATGATATACACACATGGGATATGAAACACACAGTGGACATGATATACACATATGGGATATGAAACACACACAGTGGACATGAAACACACAATGGACATGATACACACATATGGGATATGAAACACACAGTGGACATGATATACACACAGTGGACATGATATACACATATGGGATATGAAACACACACAGTGGACATGATATACACACAGTGGACATGATATACACATATGGGATATGAAACACACAGTGGACATGATATACACATATGGGATATGAAACACACACAGTGGACATGATATACACATATGGGATATGAAACACACAGTGGACATGATATACACATATGGGATATGAAACACACGGTGGAAATGATATACACATATGGGATATGAAACACACAGTGGACATGATATACACATATGGGATATGAAACACACAGTGGACATGATATACACATATGGGATATGAAACACACAGTGGACATGATATACACATATGGGATATGAAACACACACAGTGGACATGATAAACACATATGGGATATGAAACACACACAGTGGACATGATATTCACATATGAGATACTAAACACACAGTGGACATGATATACACATATGGGATACAAAACACACATAGGCCATATAGCTCATCCCTACACAATGAGAGAAATATATACGTTTTTAAAAAAACACAGCAGCTATGAAATACGCACACACAAAGGATATGAAACACACACACACAAAGGATATGAAACACACACACACCCAAAGGATATGAAACACACACACAAAGGATATGAAACACACACACACACACATCACCACAGCCTGGTGAGCGGCGCAGTGAGGAGTAACAAGGGGATCTGGCCAATACTTGACGCTCAGAGGAAAGGCAAGATGGACGTTTCATGAGTCTGCCACTGGCACCCCTAGAACTGAAACTGCGCTAGCTGCTGAAGATGGGGACGGAGAGCTTATGGGAATGTTTGAGTGCTGTGATGTCGGTTCTTGACTTATCACAAAAGGGATTGCATTCTAAACTTGAGTTTTCTGTAAATGTGTCACAGACTTTGAAAAGTTAACTCTTTTAGTAGGAGATGTCTGTAGGTATAAACAATCAAAAGGGCAAACAGTGAGTATATTACTTTCAAACAAGTTAAACACTGTGCAAGCCAGATTTTCTTATTATGTTCTGGTCAAATGTATTTAAAAAGAAAAATACAAGTACATACTACACTTTGGATGGGATTCACAGAAGATGTAATCACACATCATACGCTGTTTCGGACTAAAAGAGTTAAGGGGGTCCAAGGACAACTAAATGGGAAAGACTGCACTAGGTGATGTCTTGCAGCGATGGTTTCTGCGATAATTCATTATGCTATGGTTAAGTTTAGTTAACTGATCCCAGGTTTTGTATTATTAACAAGCCACAATCGTCCGCTGGGAAGAAAACATCCGACAGTCCCTAACTGTCAGAGGACTGGAATGGAACAAAGCCAGAAATAAAACTGCTGATAGAGAAGTCTGGCGATCTCTCTGGCAAACCTCTACACCCCAAGGTAGAAGAGGAACAATTAAGTAAACGTAAGTAAGACAAGCCACGGATGTGGTTAGAATACGGACCTCTTAAACAGGCTTAACTGTTCTTCTTCTTCTTCACATTCACCAGCTATAAACCCAGCAGAAAGTTCTGGTTGTTCATCCGTTTGTGGACTTTAATCTTGTTCCAAAACTTGATTTTTGCATGCACATCTGCTTTACAGATCTGGTTTATCTGTGTGCAGTCTCTTGGTTCCCCACCTCTCAGGCAAATGCATTCTGACTTTGTAGGAAGCTCTAATTAGTCGACTTTTAGGACATGCTTGTTAATGGAGCAGTGGGTCTATTTTTTCTCCCTCTCCCCGCCCTTCTCTCTGGGGTTTCAGAACCGACACGAGGAGTCTAAATGTTTAATGCTAATGGATAAAGTGATAAGGAAATTGAGATAAGAGGAACTCAGAACTCAGCTTATGTGGACAGGCACTCCAGATTACTAAGCATGGGCTGCAGACATGCTCTCTGCATGCAGGAGGGGCTGAGTGGTCTCCAGGCATTGCGTCCACCTAGAGTGCTGGAGGTCCCAGGTTCAGGCCCCAGTAAAGGCTGGGTTTTTTCATGTGGACTTCTAGTAATTTCCCTGGTCTCTTGGTAGTAAGATCGGACGCCTGTTGTATTGTTGCTCACACACAAAAATCCCTTGGCAGTTGGAAATCAAAACATTAGCTTAACAGCGCTGCCCGGGCAAATTTTAGAGTTTAAAATTTACCAAAATTAGTTCAGAGATCCTGTATCAGACCAGTGGAAAGCTGTATGGCTTAGGAAGACAGGCCTGTGGCCTTATCTGAAAACCGCAAGGACAAAGATGAGAGGAAATAATCAAGTGCCTACTGACCTTGAGATCCAGCCGATGGTTGACAGCCAGCGATGCGTGCTGCAGAGCTTTAATAACAGACGCGTATGAATCAGACAGTTCAGTATATTTGCCAACCAAAACAATGCAGACTTCCTTCAGCAGTCGGTCATGCCTGGACACATAAAAATGAATTTTTCAGACCAGGGAATATAAGGAAAGCAAAGTACAGTCATACTCTAGCACGTCCTGCTTTACACAAAACATTCCACTGGCCTGACAAAAAAGACATAGATAACCGGACAGATATGACTTCTATCGAATATGTCAGCTAAGTGATTCTGTGTGTTCTTGTTCACATCTGTGGCATTGTAGATTTCATGTAAAACATAAACCTTGAACGTTGAGGATTTGTTTTCATAGATAAAGTTGTAATTAAAAAAAAAATTTTATATTAGGAATGAATGTTTTGTTTAACAACCAGGCGTTTCAATTATTAATAAAGGCAAAATGCATAAAGAGAATATGGTAGAAAAACAATCATAGAATCTATGGTTAAAGTAATTAAAGGACGCTCTCCAACCCACCTGTCTGCCAGCTCTTTCCACCTGGCCATATGGTTAACAGCACTGACTTTAACACCTGAAGTATCCAGACTCAAGCGTCTGATCAGGAACTCGTCTGCTCCCTGGGCTTGCAGAAGTAAAGGCACACGGTAGATTGAAGTCACATCGTGGACACAGTACACCTGTTGAAATTGTCATTTTTCAAGATTAACCCTGTCGCCCCGAGAAGCCGCAAAACTAACAAAGCCGGTTGGGGGCAATTCCCTGTAAATGTCACTTCGTTGACTTATGTGTTTACCAACATACACGGTTAACGCTACTGGCTAAGTTCACGCCTGTGCAGTGTTGAGAAGGTAACAATAGGAATATATGGTTCTATCCCAATATCTTCCCCCAGACAGACAGTCATGGGACCTAGGCCGCATGCAGTCATGGGACCAAGGCTGCACTCTCTTGTAGGATGTAGGTGGGTTTGGGTAATGCCCAGTTCCATGTTTTTTTGGGGTTGTTAAAAGCATCAGAAAGCTGGGAACCACTCTTACCACCCTCTAAAATACTGGATTGTCCTGTGATGTCATCCTGGGGGAAGATATTGAGATAGCACAGAATATATTTATTAACAATAGTATTTAGGGGAGTTTTCTTGTTTACATCAAATTTTCCCATAGCCTCAGTGATAAAGATCACAGCTTAAATCGCCAATCCACAGCACAAGTCACACAAATTATTTATTTTGTGCCTCAGGGAATGTATTCCTTTGATTGTTTTCCCCCAGTGTTTATTGATTAGTCCATTTATTTATCTTTACATATTTTGAACCAATTTTTTTTAAATGTTGGTGAATAACATTTTTACAAAAGTATAAGTGCTGTTGTTTTATCTTCTGTATGACTTCCATTTGCTGTGTTCACTATATTTCTTCTGATTAATTCTCTCTGTGGCAGCTAGCATCAGGGCTTTCTCACTCAGATGGACAAACCATCAGCTCTGTTGCTGTTTAACGTTTTGAGTCCCAAGAAACACATCATACGTTCACAGATTCCTACCTAGAAGACCAATGAACGCAAGATGCGCTGATTTTACGTCTCTCTTGACTACCCCTTGGGCCTGTGATGCTAAACCCCCTGGGACAGTGTTAATGAATTTATTGCAATTTATTGTTTCCTGTTAACTGGCAACTCTTCTAAGAATGATATGATTTTGTTCATGACCTGATTAAAGTAATTAAAGCTCAAATAAGGTCAAAAACATTCAAAGCAATGAGACTTACCTGCTCAGGGTCAACGTGACAAAACAAAGATATTTTATCTTTGACAGATTCAGCCAAGGGGGTGACACTTCGGCACACAATCTAGGGGGAGATAAATATAAAGCAAAGTATAGTTCTCTTTGAATCTAAACAAACAAGGCCAGATAAAGTAAAATAGGCCGGGAGATTATAAATGTTTTCAGAACAACCAGCAACATGCTAATATATCCAGGATGACATCAATCTGCTTAGAAGAACAGTACAATCGGCTATCTCACTGATAGTGCATTTATTTGTCTTGACTGTATTGTATCTATAGAAATAACATTCTGTTCAACCATTCTGGGTTACAATCCTATGGATTTATTTTAACTAGTCATCCCCTCATGGGATGCAATTTTTTGTTATTTTGAAGTCTCACCCTGGCACTTGCCAGAGGCCGCAATATAGCCCGGCCATAAATATGGTCTAATGGCTGAATGCGGTTTCCGGGACCTCTCCACAGGTGATCCTCATCCGCATGGTAGCACTTTGTGTCATCGGGTGTTTATCGCTTGTGTGATGTCCTGATGGGGTAAAATCTACTACTACTACAATCCTATGGATATACAAAACAAGTTTTGGAGCAAGAATAAAGTCCAGAAGTGAACGGTACATCATCATCATCATAATCAATTTCCCCTTCTGCTGTTAAGTGTCGTGGAAAGGAACAGTTTGCGATCCATTGCTTGATGGCTAATGCCATTCCATGCTGATGTAGAAGCTATTAAATATCATTAATCCATGTTCTCTTAGGGCGACCGCTTGTTTTCATATAAGATCTTTCCATGTGTAGTGCCCGCGATGGTAATTGTTATGGCCGCATTCTTACTAGATGACCAAACCATGTGACCTTCTATTTCTCAAAGAATTTGCTGCATGGCCTTGTTCCAGTCTGTCTGACAACATTTATAATTTTGTCTTGGATGGTTTAACTGGCGGCTTCTCTCAGGCATCTTATTTCACAGATGTTAACTTTACGCAGGTTAGCCTTTAATAATCTACAAGTCTGGCACTGGTAGCACTGTGTTGGTATGAATGTGTCATTCATAATCTGTTTCTTGGTACCCATACTTAGATTAAGATGCCTTAAAAAGGATGTTAACTGTATAGACATACTGTGTATATTATTTCACATTTCTTCTATGATCTACCTTAAAGAGAAGCTGGCAAGTTACATCAGCTAGACTGAGATATATGCGTCTTTCGGGTCAACACATCCGATTTTAACATAAGCCTTTTACAACATTCTAGTTAGGGGGTAGTGCCCCCCTCCCCCACCACCAATTGGGTTCCAGAAGCCACACGGGGAAACTTTCTTCTTAGTGTGCACCGACTATAAACTGGTGGCTAATTCTGGATGTTCATCCAGTTCTGGACTTTAGTCTTGTTCCAAATCTGGCTTATTTGCATGCAAACTATTCGTTGTATGCCTTCCATGCAGATGCACTCCGAGTTTAAAGGATTCTACTGGTAGATTTTAAAGACTACTTTACATTACATAACTAAACAAACATAGTCAGTTTTGAACATGCGATGACAGATAATGCAACTTACAATATCTGGGGAAATGCCAAGTCCTCGAAGTTCACGAACACTTGACTGGGTGGGTTTTGTTTTCTGTTCACCCGTGGTCTTTGGCTGCGGAAGACAAAATATATTCACGTAAACATTTCTGCAAAACCTTTTCAGATAAGTGTTTCCTCACTTTCTCTTTAAAACATCAAACGGAATCTTTATACCCAGCTAAGCCTGTACCACATCATGTGCCATGCCAATACATGTAGGCAGCCATGGTTTGCCATCCCACACGACAACCAGAATCACAGATCAGGTCAGTGCTCCAGTACTTTTCTATCCATGCAGCAAAGCCATCAAAGCATTTATATTTGTCCTCCTATTGCTCTTTTTTGATCAGTTAACCTTTGGTTCTCTAGTCTATTCCTTCTCGACAAAAATAAAATTCACTCTGTATAATTTCTTTAATCAGTTTGCGGATCACACCTGACGAGTGTACCTAAACATTACAAATAAATTTCTACCCATTACAGAAAACTACAAATGGCCAACATCTAAGCATCACATATAATCTCTAAAATGAGAACTACAAACGGCCGACAACTAAACATCACATATAATCTCTACTCAATACAGAGAACTAAAAATGGTCGACATTTAAACATCACATGTAATCTCTACCCAATACAGAGAACTAAAAATGGCCGACATCTAAACATCACATATAATCCATACAATCTCTACCCATTACAGAGAACTAAAAAATGGCCAACATCTAAACATCACATATAATCTCAACCTGTTACAGAGAACTAAAAACAGCAGACATCTAAACATCACATGTAATCTCTACCCATTACAGAGAACTACAAACAGCCGACATCTAAACACCACATTACAAGCAACAGCAGATGTCCAAACATCACAGAAAATATCTATACATAGCACAAACAAACTCTGCAAAGACAGACACATTAAAAATTACTAAACATGAACTAACTACATCCGTGTGTGGGGTGGGTCCCCGAAACTAATTTTGAAAGACCACTGCCCCCCTCCCCCAACAAGCACGTCGTAAAAAGTTACTAATCATGGAAGTCTCCTTCAAAGTGCTGCTGTGCATCTGACTGAGAAGGAAGGAGCCAATAGCATGCGTACAAGTTCTGAAACAAGACCAAATTCCAGAGGTGGACAAACAGCTAGAACTTTCTTGTGGAATTTACAGCCAGTGAATGTTAAGAAGAAAACTTACAAACTGCTGCCAAATATAAACTACAATATACATTTCTGAGGATACAGTTTCTGGAAAACCTGGCAAGGGCAGGTACAAGATAACAAAGATGCACTAGCTATGAAAGCACACATTCTGTAATAGACACGCTGATTGACTGACACATTTAACAGTGAAACTGTGATCTTATCGATTTTACCTTAAGATATCTTTTGTCAATATCTGCTTATGCCGCTAGGCGTCGCAGATCATCAGACGACTGGCAGCTAAGATAGGGTGCGCTCAGTCGTTTGGTATGTCGTGATATTATGCAATCTCAAGGTGTCAGTGACTCTTTCAATCCATCATCTTCTCGGTCTTCCTCAATTTTCAGGTAGTACGCTCTTGCTGCTGGCATTGTTGGTTTCATTACTTTAAGATATAAAATACTAAAATGTTCTTACCTGTGGTATAAGACTAACATGAACACAGCAGATGTTCTCTCGCTTCACTCGAAACTGAAACTGCCTGAAAGCTTCCACAAATGGCATGCCTTCAATGTCTCCAATTGTGCCACCCAGCTGAGAAGAAAAATGGAATGGTTAATCAAATGCAGATATTTAAATTAGATGGTAAAACTAATTTGGCTTGAGCAGGTCTCTTTACCATCTACTCTAGTAACACATCTGGCCACCCTCTAGTAACACATCTGGCCACCCTCTAGTAACACATCTGGCCACCCTCCAGTAACACATCTGGCCACCCTCTAGTAACACATCTGGCCACCCTCTAGTAACACATCTGGCCACCCTCTAGTAACACATCTGGCCACCCTCTAGTAACACATCTGGCCACCTTCCAGTAACACATCTGGCCACCCTCCAGTAACAAATCTGGACACCCTCTAGTAACACATCTGGCCACCCTCCAGTAACACATCTGGCCACCCTCTAGTAACAAATCTGGCCACCCTCTAGTAACAAATCTGGCCACCACAGGAGTGTAGTCTGATTTCTGACATGCATGCTCTATTCCTGACTGATGAAAAATAAAGTTTATTTGTTCACTTCCTAAGAATTTAAACATACGGCTATTTCTACTATTCTATTCATATTTCCCAAGTAAAGTATGGTCTAGCTAAAGGAGAAAAGATAAAACCAGAATGGTACATGGCACAGATGGCATCATAAAACAAGAACGAAGATAAGTCAACACCAAAGGCGTAACAGAGAAGATACCAAAAACTAAAATATTAATGATCTTTCACTAAATCATTCACACGTTTTCATTTCATTTCCAATGCTTCATTACTTCTTCGTTCCTGGGATGTGAATTCTGGCAGAAGGCCAGTAGTTCGTCCATTTTGACTTTCGGCTTTTACCTGGACCTGGGTTTTGTGTGTACATCCGTTTTACTGGCTTATTTGTTTGCCATTCCCTGCCTCACTGGCAGATGTACTCTGACTTCGAGGAAAAGCGTCATTGCTTAATAATGCTGGATGAACAATGTATTTTCTGCTTTAATCTTTATGGAAGTATACCACAGGCAGACATACAAATATCTGATAAATGCAAAATAATTGTTAGTAAAGCTGAAGAGCACCCGTGTGTTAGCGGGGCCCTCACAGGAAGCAAAAAATAGTAACATTGCACACGTCAGGAGTGTCTTAAGAGGCGACTAAGGATAGGGTTTGGTTTGGCTATCCAATCCTGTAACAACAATAGCCATAAAAACCAACCAACCAACGAAAAATCAAAAAATATCATCTAGCGCACCAAGATGGGGAGGGGGGGGGGAGGGTGCTCTTCTAATGGAGGAATGATGACACAGTATGGAGAAAGACAGGGAGGACATGGGGTGAGCTGTGTGAGTTGGGGGAGAACCTATGCTACATTGGGGTAGAGAAGGCAAAAGAGAAGAAAGTTGAAGAGGGGAGGGACTGGCTGAGCGGTACAGAATGCTGAACTAGTAAACAGTGACAGAAATTTCCAAGAATTGAAGTTACAATTAATATCCAACATACCTCAATAATGCAGACATCTGCTTTATGGTTTCCTTCCACTGGGGTCTCCGCGACTCTGGTGACCCAATCCTGAATGGCATTAGTAATGTGTGGGACAACTGCAAGAAAGTTAAATGTATCAGAGAGGTTGTATTCCCCCCTCCCTCAATACTGTATTTTTCAATGTATAAGACTACCCCTATTTTGTAGCATAAAATTAGGAAATTAATACTTTTGATCACCTTTCATGTAAAAGACCTCCAATTTTAAACTTACAAAATTTAAGAAAACACTGTATACAGAAAAATATGGTTCAGTCATTCACCACAATACTGTATCTGACTGGCACAGCAGGTGCGAGGTACTGCCAAAAAACTGACAGTACTGCCTGTGATTACCACTTCCACGTGTAGGAAGGGGATGGGAGTGTTTTTGAGCGTGATGATTTAAGGCCGCATGGCTAGTGCTGTCGCCCACTACTGCGCAGCTTAGGATTTTATTTTTGTCTCTGACAGCAACAAAATCCCCAACCTTACCAGGATTCGAACCAACGATGAAGCCCTGTGTTCTTATCCATTCAGCCAGTCACTCCTCGTTACGAGGTATGATTACAGATACACAACATGGGTACAGTCAGGTAATGCTAAAGAGCATAAACAAGCAGGCAGATGACTGGTCGGTCCTGCGCCACTTGGTGATCTATGACAAGCTAGATGTTGTCAAGGCCCTTTGGGAGGGAGTAAACAGGACAGTGCAGATGCACAAATAGATCATTACAGTCTGAGGAGAATTGCGCTGCAGGGAGTTACCAGGGGATCTGGCCGATGCTCAATATTCAAGAGAAAACGAGACGGATGTACAATCAGACAGTTACTGGTACCATCGGGAAAGGAATTCTCTTGCTTCTGAAGATGGGGAGGGAGCGCTGATAGGAGTGTCCCAAGTGCTATGATACTGATTCTTAATACAATATTCAACAGTGGTTCCCAAGTGGCTTTAAGAGCTCGGACCCTCTTATTTATAAAGGTCAGCTACAGACCTCATAAAGTCATAATGAAAACTTCGTTTCTAAATATTAGAATCACCAACACACAAAATATTTGATACTGAAAGTTATGATAATTCGTCCATTTCTAGACTTTGGTTTTGTTTCAAAACTTGAGTTATTGCATGCATATCCATTTTATAGATCTAGCTTACTTGCATGCAGACTGTTGGTTCCTCACCTCTCAGGCAGATGCTCCCTGGCTTTGAAGGAAATGCTCCTAATTAGTAAACTTTTACAACCTTCTTGTTAGGAGAGCTGTGGCTCTATACATGTTACCCTTAAAAAATGGGGCCCAGGAACCTACATAGGGCTTTTTGTAAATAATACAGACCCTTCAAATTTGTGGATCCTGAGAGAGCACAGACCACCAAAATAGGACCAAACTGCCACAGGTTTTATATTTAATGGATCTAGGTGAAAATATTTCAACAAAATACTTCTCTGCCAAGAGAAAGTGGAACAGTGCAATACTTCTCTACAACTTCATGGCGAAAACAATGTAAAAAGGCCACTTCTCAATAAAGGACAGCAACTTTATCTAATGTAACAGTGACTTTCCCTGTCTCTAAAATAATGCTTACAAATAAATACCATACCTTGCACTGTTTTGCCGAGGTAGTCTCCCTTCCTCTCCTTGCTGATGACCTCTTGGTAAATTTTACCGGTTGTGATATTATTGTCTCTTGTTAGGGTCACATCCAGGAAGCGCTCATAGTTGCCTAGATCAAGATCTACCTCTCCACCGTCATCAAGAACAAAGACCTCACCTGCAATAAAACAGATCACCTTTGTGAAATATGGTGACCTGCACAATTGTTTAAGACACCTTATGTTCACCTAACTAATATAAGTCAATGACTGCATTATCAATTATGATGTCTCAATGTGGGATTAAATTTTTCGTTATCTGAAACCCCATCCTGGCTTTTTAAGGGGTCCCTAAACATAGCCGAGCCTTAAATATGGCCTAACTGCTAAACAGGATTTCTGGGACCTCTCCACGGGTGATCCTCATCCGCATGGTGACACTTTGTGTCACTGGGTGTTTATCACTTTGTGTGATGGTACAACTTACATACATACATACCTGCACGTTTACGACATCTGTCCCAGTGAGGAAAGTGAATTTTTTTAAAGCCCCACCCTGGCTGCTGTCAGGGGTCCTAACATAACTCAACCTATGGGTTGAACAGGGTTTTTGGGACGTGTCCCCGGGTGATCCTCATCCAAATGGTGACTTTAAGCCACCAGTTTTATCGCTCGGCGTGATGTCCTGTGGGGCTGAAGATCAGTCAGTCAGTCATGACTGCATGTCGCCAAAGTCACTGAAGTGCAATTTTGACAATTTTCACCTGTCACTTTCAGAACTGTTGTTTGTCACTTTACAGAACCCCTAAGCGCAATTTGGAAGATTTTATGACTCCTTTTTTTTAAAGTCTAAGCCAGGATGCGTTGGTAGCCATGTCTTTCCACAATCTTCTGTCTCAGGTACTTTAAACCAACCATGCCATGATGTCAAACCATCCAGCATCTGTTCTCTGGGTCTCCCTCTGCCTCTCCTCCAAATTTACTAGTCACAATGTACTCATTTTCTCTTCATCACATGACCAAAGAATGTACATTTGATGACATGCTGTGTAAAAGGCAGTGGGTTTATCCATCAATGTGCTCCCCCAATCCCTAATTTGGCAGGCTGTGAGAGCAGCATTTTGCAAAGGGCTTGCTTTAGAATGATAAGAACCCTGTTTGGGTTCCAGGGCCCTATTATAGGGAAAACAAGAATAGACCCACTGCCTACCCAAAAACATGTAAGAGTCGACTAACTGGGAGCTTCCTTTAAAGCCGGAGTGCATCTGCCTGAGTGGCAATGAACCAGCAGTCTGCATACAAATCAGATCTGTAAAATGGATGCACACACAACACTCAGGTCCTGGAACAGGACTGCGGTCCGAATTGAATGAACAACCAGAATTTTCTCCCAGAGTTTACAGATAGTGAACACGAAGAAGAAGAATGATAAGACAATATAACACCATGGGTGCATTAATCAGTCGAGGAGTAATTAGTGAGGACCATCATCATGGCACTCCTGGACAGTTCATTAACGGCTCTGATCGCCTCAACAGCTCCATAGGCATACAAAAACTGATGATGCCTGTTCTGTGCTGATTAATCAAATGTCTTGTGTCCTTGGTGAAATATTCACTGCTTGTAGCTCCAGGCTGCACCTCCATGGCCACCAACCTGCACCTTCATGGCCATCCACCTGCACCTTCATGGCCATCCGCCTGCACCTTCATGGCCATCAGCCTGCACCTCCATGGCGATCAACCTGCACCTCCATGGCCACCAACCTGAACCTCCATGGCGATCAGCCTGCACCTTAATGGCCACCAGCCTGCACCTCCATGGCGAGCAACCTGCACCTTCATGGCCACCAACCTGCACCTCCATGGCCACCAACCTGCACCTCCATGGCGATCAGCCTGCAGCTTCATGGACACCAACCTGAACCTCCATGGCGATCAGCC